TTCTTGACGGCTGGAATAGCATCGCGAGGCTAGCTGAATTTCAGATCACACCTACAACGAAAGTAAAAAAAGTTAAACCATTCTTGCGTAGCCTGCTTACGCCATGGCCATGCTCTGCCTCCCTGTGACACGTCTGTCCGCCAATAACAGTGCTAAAGTGGATGTCTGATGTGCACAGGAACGGTGCTGCGTAGGGGCGACAATTCAGGCTAGGCTGGTTCGCATCGATGAGGTCTGACCGTCGGGCCTGTCTTGGTATGGATTCAACGACGGGTTTCTCAGCCTTTGTATTTTAGATCACCATCAACGTAATATGCTGCGACGGGATGTGGACGGCCTCCCATTGGGGAAAAATATATTTGTGCTTTGCGGTTAAACTCTAGCTGGGGCAAGTTGGGGAGCAACAGGTGGCAGAGGGCGAGACTGGGATCGGGCTGGGCGCTGGCAACATCTTCGTACCTGACAAGGCGTACCTTTCTACGGGCACAGCCGATTTGCCTCGTCTTCTGTTTACAATTTTAAAAGCATAAGCAGGCATCTATGGGGTGTCCGAGGGTCTACCACCTCAGGGACGTCGTCATGCAAGGGAGGTGGAACCACATGAGATTCGCAGTGGCTGGTGCGCGGCAGGGCCAGCAGCTGGGTTTTGTTAGGTAGGAGAAAACCCCGACATTTGGGTGGCGGCAGCGGTAGAAGGCTGCCGCGCCAGACCAGGGACAAGTACCTCGAGACTGGGAGATATAAGAATAAGGCGTCGGGACTGTTCGTGTCCCGTTTGTTAATACCTGCCTCGAGGCACGCTCAGCGACAAAGCAAGCTTTTAGGGCCGTCCATCATCCTTGCGATTGGGTCCCCCGATCGGTTGCAGAAAGCTCAGCGTTCAGGGACCTGCCATTCCAACAAGGCCCAGCCAGCTATTGCCAGCCCGGCGCCCAGCCCATCCCGTACCGTACTGTACTCTCGTCTCGCGCGCCCCCCCTCCGTGGCCGATTTTTTAAACCCTCTTCTCTCTTCCTGTCTAAGTGCCGTCAATCTCCAGATTCCCAGGCTTTTGTCGCGTCCGTCGCGGCTGTAGGATTTTTCATTTTTTTCTTCTTGTCTTGCCCAGGAGAGACGACGGAGGCTCGCACCCCCGTTCACATCGAGCACCATGTTGGTCGAGGTAAAGTTCCCCTGCCCTCTCTCTTTCACGCTCTCCCTTTCCGTTCTCCCCGTGCGCTCTTCTCGTGTCTGCTCGTCCATGCAGCTCCTTGTGTCCGTCTAATGGATTGGGCCTGGGACCATCGTGGATTTATACCAGTGCGGGTGCTGTCCGCGATTCTGCTGCAATGACCAAGTGTGAGCGGCTCACCGACGGCTGCCTGCAGCTGCCACCGCGGGTGTCCAACATGACATGAGGATCTCAGTAGAAGCTCTGCGCGTGCGTGCCGCCAATTTTGAGGCTCTGGGCTCGCACCCTCTGACCTCTGCCAGTATCTATCTGCCGCAGAGCCTCAAGAGCGATCCTTTCCTCGATTACTGTGTTTTCTTCTACCCTGCTTCATTTCTCCCCACCATCCATCGCTTTCCGCACTTGTGCCTTGGGAGCTCTTACGGGCTTCCGGATAGCTTCACTGGCGACTCCCACGCTTTCGCGAGCATTCGCGCCCACCCAAAATGCGTTTCCGGGACCGTGCTCACATTCTACAGAGGAAAGTCAAGGTGGCCGTAGAGCAACATGTCATGTAAGTCCTCTGCGATTGGGCCCAGGTTTTCGGGCATGATCAATCGTATTCACGTACTGACACGGATTGGTGTTCCAGCGACAAGCCACCCATCGAGGGATTCCCAATGCGAGAATGGAGTATGCGCCTGTACCTTCTCGACGAGGATGGGGCGGAACGACCGGCAGATGTTTTCACCAAAGTTGTGTATAACCTGCACCCTACCTTTGAGAACCCCGTACAGAGTTGGTCTCTCCCCGTGCTCCCTGCTGATTGCGCATCCACGCACGCGCCGGCGCGCACACGTCCAAATGATTGCTGACCTTGACTTCTTTCCGCGTAGCATTCGTGAAGCCACCGTTCGTCTGCAGCAACGAGGGTTGGGGAGAGTTCGAGATTGGGATCGATCTTTACACGACCGAAAAGACGAAGCTTGCGCCCATCGTCCAAGACCTTAACTTCCAGAAGGAGGAGTACGCCAGCATCCACACTGTGGTATTCAAGAACCCCTCCCAAGCCCTACAGGAGCGCCTACGAGAGAGCGGGCCGTTGCCCAACGATGAGGACCGGCCGAAGAAGAAAGGGCTCGCCAGTAAGAAGGCTGCCCAGAAATACGACTACGAAAAGGTGGCAGATGCGCTGCAAAAACTGGAGGAGGAGGACCTGCTCAAGGTGATCCAAATGATCAACGAGGGGAAAGCGCCCGATACCTATATCAGGAGCGACGTCGAAGGTGAGTCTCTCACGCGTTGTCCTCCCGGATATCTCCTTGTTGATGTTGATTCGGGCTAATTAGTGACTGATTTGCTTCAAGCGGGTGAATTTTCGATCGATCTGTACACGATGCCCGACACGCTGACATCGAAACTATGGGACTTCTTCGTGAGTTTTCGCGCCGCGGCATTCCGGGATATATTGCTAACAAGGGGACCAATTCAGCTTAAGCGAGGGCTCGTGTCATAGGGATTCTCAAGGTGGTAAGGAGGGGGATATTCGTGTTGTCTCAATGGTCTTCAAAACGAACCGCTTGTGCTACTTAAAAAATGACTTGGGAACCTCCTCGATGACTCTCGGTACGCACTGATGTGGCACGAAATGGACGATATCTCCTTCTCCCAGGAATTTACGGCCAAATGCCAAAGACGGAGGCGAGCGTACCTCTCAGATGTACAATGCGGATCTGAGGGTACAAGTTGTTGGGAGCAGAAGGAGAGATGCATAGGAGCAGGGCCTACAATTCCCTAGAGACTGGATGAGCCTCGGAGGTTGTTAGACCACTGCCCCATGCAAAGGAAAAGAGGGCTTGCATCGAAAGGATCTGTTGCACAGGAACATTATTATTTTTTATCAGCATACCTATCTACCTATCTATCAATCTTTTTGCGAAGAGCGCGTGGTATCGCCGCCAGAGCCTTTGACTGTGGGGGCACAGAATATCGTGTTTTCAAGTGTGACGGTTGAACGGTTAATGCCAATACCACCTGCATCGGTGCTACCAGCCCAATTAGTAGGTTGGCATTTGCAGACAGCTCGTGATGCGTCTGTGACGTGTTGAGCCGCCTAAGTACCGGTGTACATGGGAGAGGCCGGCTAGGATTGCAAATCTTGGCGGCGGACAATTTTGAAATGCAGTGTGGGGCGCTCTGCAGGTCTCATCTCGATCTGGGAATGTACAAGCCTTGCAATCTGCCACTCGATGGAAATATATGCGTTTGGTCAATGTGTACACACTCTTTGTGAACGTGCCTGCTACCATGTGCCTGCGCTACTGCCGACATGCGGTGCGTCAGATGAATGTATTCACATGCTTCTAAGCCTGGTCTTGTCCATCACATGCCAGGTGAAGGGAAGCATAAAGTGGCGAGCGATTACTGATGGAAGTACCTGCGTCTACCCCGGGTTTTATGACATCAACAACGTGTTGGCATCAGATCAGGGTAATTCTGGGGCTTCCGAGGACAAGGTAGGTAGCCAGGTAGACGAGCCATTGGTTACCCAGGTGGCTTGGGAGCTTACATTAAGGGACAGCGGAGTGGCGGCAGCCTCGGAGATGTTTGGGGACCCAATTAGAATGATTAGTAGAGGAGAAGCCAAGTAGGCCACAAGCAGCGAGAAAGTGACAGAAGAAAGAGAACGATCAAGGATGATTTCACCCAAAGACCATAGGGCGAACCCATGATCTCCGGATCTTCCTACTAACCAAAGTTGGCCCTCTCCGAACCTCGAGATGAGCCCAATTAGGCAATCAAGTCGGTGGGTAAGATATTCAACGACATTTCCCATTCGATGTTGGCTATCAGGCGCATTGCGAAAGAAACATCGTGTTCGAGTTCTGCTGGCTGCATGAACTGCTGCTCCCGCCATCTCGCAGTTGAGGTTGTCAGCAAGCCCGCGGTCCAGCCCCACAGTGATAGACTCAAAAAAGTTAAGTATTGCATAATCAGCTCTCTCATTCGATGAGATGCCCTGTCGGCATACTACAAACCGCCCACTAAGGTACCTAGGCGACGCCCAACGGCTTGTTGCCAACCAAGTGCAACTCGCGGCTGCCTCGGGAGGTGATTTCCTCTAGCGCTGGGTTCCTTGTGGTAGGACGTCGGTACATAGGTAGCTCTAATGTTGTTGTGTGGCTAGCCATTGATGTTTCATAGGTATGCAGAGATCCTGGCATCGGGTTGTGTTCCGTACCTATAATTGACTCGGGTTCGTTGACTCGCAGCGGACAATTTAATGCAATGGCATGGAGACGTTGTGACCCGTGTTACGGACGCAAAAAAAAATCAGGAAGCTGAGGGTCTGATTGCAGCGAGTTGGCAGGTACAATAGGCCCAGGGCGACTTCCCCCAATCACGCATCTTTCGAAGATGCAGAAGGTGGGATCGCGTCAGACCAAGACCTAACTGCGTTTAGTTAGTATCTGAACACAATGGCCTGAACCCCATTCGCTCGATTCTTTTACTTATCATCTGGATGGAGAGATTGGATTGATGTTTTCTGCCTTGACCTTTTGCGTGCTACGATCCATCTGCTAGGAGCTGTGCTGGGCTATCAAAGCTAGCTCCCCAGGGCCCTGACGAGCAACGTTGAAGGCTCTAGCTCCTCCGTCGCGTGCGCTAGCAACGACGTTCCCCGCTTTCTCCCCCCGTTATTTACAGACAGGCCAGGTCCTCCCACGCTCGGCCTGCGCGCTGCTGCTTGCTTTAACCTCGCCCAACCGCCGCAAACCGAAGGGTCTGACCCTCCCTCGAACCACCACCACAAGGGCCTATCATACGACCCACGCCAGCGCAGCGAAGCATGTCGCAGTACGGGACCGCCAGAGGCACTCCTGTGGGCAATCAGGAGAGCCAGGATAGCCGCTCGCAGCAGGCCCAGCACAAGCGTGTGTACCAGGCGTGTATCCCCTGCCGACGCCGCAAGGTGCGCTGCGACCTGGGCAGCGTCGACAACCCCAGCGATCCGCCGTGTGTGCGCTGCCGTCGCGAGAGCAAAGAATGTTACTTCAGTGCCACTAGGAGAAAACGCAAGGACGAAGGCGACATTAGCGATGGCGAGGAGTACGTTGTTCGAAACGGCCGAAAGCGCGGTCCCAGCCAGGATGATCCCCCGCCTCCCCGGGTCGAGCGTCTCATGTACAGCGACGTTCCTCTAACGCCAGGCGGATCGCAAGGCCGAAGTCAGCCGCTGAGGCGCCCCGATGGAACAATCGAAGGACCACGGCATGGAGCGAAGCGAAGCCGTAGGGACCGCGACTTTGGCTCGGATGGAGACGACAACCAGCACATGGAGAACCCGGATGCCCAGACTGTCATGCGACAGGGTGTCTATGGTCCGCACGATGCCCTCGATCTGTTGTACAAGGCCGCGACGAACACTACTGATAGGTTGGTCGCAACACCCAGAAGTGTCATTTACCAGCAGTCGCTGCGGCAGCATGTTGACAGCAGCAGCCCACTGCCAGTAGCACATAGACGCGTGGAGAGCCGGGCGTCAGTAGGAAGCTTGCTACCACCCCAGGCCACAGTCGACGATCGAGCAGACCGGAGCACGACAATCCGAAATCAGACCCCCGCGGCGAGGTCCGAAAATCCCATCGAACATGAGTTTCCCAAGCGAGATTCGAACACTCCTCCTGGGTATATCGAGGCTGTTCGCGCTTGGTCTAGATTCCGTTTTGTTCGGGCGGGTTGGTTCACACCCCAGGAAGCAATCGAGTATATCGACTAGTAAGTCTTGGCCCGTGTGATAATGATGATTTGCAATAAACTGAGTGACAATGTACAACTAACCACCCCCTCCAGCTACTATGAATATCTCTCTCCCATGACACCAATATCACCCCCAACGTTTAGTAACCTAGCGTCTCATGGTACACTGTTGACTGACGAGCCCATCCTTGCCGTGACGTTACTTACGATTGCTTCGAGATATAAACAAATGTCCGGTACTGGCGGTCACTGTCGTTCTCATGCAATCCATGAACAGCTCTGGACCTATCTCAGAGGAATGATTGAGCGCTGTCTGTGGGGCCAAGAGGCTTTTGGTGGAGGATTCTGCGGATCGGGCTTGCCCGGCGGCGTGGAATCACTCGATGACAACCGCACGAGCAGTACTGCCCCTTGGCGCGGCATGCGCAAGGGAAGTTTGCGGACGCTGGGAACAATCGAGTCCTTGATGATTCTGACCGAGTGGCATCCTCGTGCACTCCATTTCCCCCCAACAGAGGCCACAGACGAACTAATGCTACCTCTCGAGAACGAGAAGAGTCTTCTCGCTGCTGTCGTTGATGATGACCCCAGCAGGCAGCCTGGTGGCGCAGGGTTCGGCGGCAAGCGCCTTGAGAGCTGGCTGGAGCCCGCTTGGAGAAGTGATCGTATGTGTTGGATGCTTCTCAGTACAGCCATGGGGTTGGGTTATGAATTGGGTGTTTTTGATGATATCGATGAACTGCTCAAAGACGATGCCATCACGCGGCCAGAGTACCAGGAGGAGGTTTACAGGCAGCGCGCGAACCGGATCAAACGGCTGCTCCTCATCTACACGTCTCAACTGGCCGGCCGTTTGGGGTGGACCAGCATGGCCCCTGAACACCTCAGAAAAGCTGACCCAGCCGTGGCTCGTCGGCGACCATACTCGAACGAGGAGAGTACGCCGGGGACTGCCCTCTCCTCATCGTTTTCCAACGCCTTCATCTACGTGCCTGACCTAGAGCTCGATGATCAAATCATTCACTGCTGGGCCGGGATAAGCAATGCCATGCATATGGGCAACGAGAAACTGTTCAGATCTCGGAAACACACAACAGCCATCATCCAGTCAGGAAAGTATGTCGATTTGTTGGGAGAGTTTGCTCCTCTGCTACGCGATTGGTACAAGGAGTTTGAACGATTCCGCCTGCCGCAGTTTCTGCGACACATTCTAACCATCGAGTATGAATATGTCCGCATCTACATCAATTCCCTGTCTTTACAGGCGGTCGTCGAGAGATGCACAAATAACGCGGGAAATGCGAACGGTGTCGTGAATGGGACTCAAGCGGCGTCCCAAAACGCCCATCTCTCGCCTCAAACTATACTCAGCTACGGCAAGCTTCCTCTGGGACAGCTCGGAGGGTTCACCATTCACGATCAAGAATATGTACGAGAGGTCGTCCAGGGCTCTCGAAACCTTCTCCGGACTGTTGTAGATGGTCTTCTTCCCAGCGGGCATCTGAAGCATGCACCTGTGCGAACCTACTTTCGCATCATAAGCGGCGCTATGTTCCTGCTGAAGACGTTTGCTTTGGGTGCGCCACGTTCGGATGTGAAGATCAGCATTGACCTGATGGACGCTACTGTTGAAGGCCTGCGCAACTGCGTCGTCGACGATGTTCATCTGGGAATAAGATTCGCAGATCTTCTCGAGACTCTAACAAGCAGACTACGGAATCGCTTCATCCAAGCGCCTACAATGCAGAAGGCATCCGACGAGACTCCTCCTATTGTGCAAAACGGTGGTCAAGAACAAGCCAGTGTAGATGGCGGCTGGGTGAATAGACACGCCCAGTCGCTCCGCCAAGGGCTGAACGAACACAGTAAGTCAATCTATGGACTAATATTCTATCAGTCGTTTCACTCACTAACATTTCTAAATCAGGGGCTCATGGAATAGAAGGGAACAATATTTCAGCCACACCGTTCGATCTATCCAGCGGCAACTTTCCGTACCCCGGCGGGGCATCGCTTGGACCAGGGACTCCTGCTCCCGTGGAGAACAGCAACCCATCCGCGCCTGGAGCTGGCATGGATGTGACCTTGTTTGACGATTGGAACAACCCCGGCAACGAGATGTGGTATCTCCCCACAGGACCCGCATTCTTCCAGAATATGGAGAACAGCTCCGTGTCGATGACGGCCGAGGGTGTCAATGTAGGAGGGCTGGATCTTCTCGATTATATGGCAATGGACCCAAGCCAGTTTTCCGGCGTCGACAGCAGTGGTGGCAACGGGGGGAGCCACGGCCCAGGGCCAGGCGGGCTCAACTAAGGGCTCTTACAGATGGGCTTTTGGTAGTGGTCGGTTGTGATTCTTTTGTTCTATGATGCGGCTTTACTTGGACCAAGGTAGTCACTCGTGGTACGACAGTTAATGTTTGATGCGGAAAGCGATTCAATATGGTTTTGATTTGTTTGCTAGTATTGCTTGGAGTCTGGTCCTGCTCACACCTTGACGTTTGAAACAAGATCTTGTGCGCTGCTCCATTAAGAGCAGAGGGAAAGGGGCGATGAAAAGTCAAATTTGAGTAAAAGAACTACAGTTAAATGTGTCGCGAGAGAAGAGTGCTAGTTGGCCATCGGTATTCAAGAAGCAGAGCAATATCTTAATTAAAAATAAGGAACACAATGTGTCAACCATCATCCTGTCAGAAGCGCCACACTTAAACAATATCATATTCTTATTAGTACACTATTGTTTACTTTAAGCTCACATCCCGTAAGATCCGTGGAGCATTAACAGCAAGCTTAACCTCGGCATTGTCGTCCGGGGAAAATGGCATGTTCCGCTACTGCCAATATGGCAGGAACAGATGCAAATATCAAAAATGTGCTGGACAAGGTCACCGTGGAAGAACCGTAGACGGCGCTAGACAAGGCTGTCGGTATCCTTGACCATCACAGCCCACGAGGTGACAGCTTCGGGAAAGAATGCCTGGGGCGAAAAATACTATCTTTCTTGTCAAGGAGGAGAGCAGCAAGCTACAGTAATCTGCTAATATATGCACGTAGATAATTTCTTCAGTGACCCTTCCGCATGCAAGTCAATGTTTCGAGCCTCGCCACCTCTTGTTCTGGCGGACTGGCGCCAAGTTGCACCGACATCGTCAGGCCAAAATTCCAGTTTTGAACGGCAGGAGATTATTAGGATCCTTCCTTTGGTGGCCATTGGGCCAATCTAAGAGTATTTTCTAGAGTGTTCCTCCGCTGTAGAGATTACCTGCCGATTGGCGCGGCGGATGTGAGCTCTGGCGCAATCTCTACGTTTGGCTCCTTTCTTGTTAACTGCCCTCTTTTCAGCGTAGATTTCGCCTTCAACTTCTTGAAGACGATCGCTAAGCAAGTAGAATGCACCTACAAAAGGGCGAGTAGAACCATCGGGATTCCCATGGAAGTCATTGCCCTCCATAGCGTGGTCGGGCATGAGAGTCAAGGCGGGTTCATCGACACCGTGGACATGTGCTGCGCAGAATCAGAGGTCCCAGAAGCCCATGATCCCTCCCTTTCGCTTCTCGGCCTTCCCGTTGGAGACCACATAAACATCAGTTGACCCAACTGCCCCCTGTATATTCTGGTCAAGACACCAATCGGTACTATAGCTTGAGACTATCCGTCATATTAGCCCGGTACCAGTTGGTAGTATTAGATGGGCCTGGCGAAATAAAACACGAGCTGTCCAGACCCCATAAGGCTACCACTCGAGAATAACATCAAATTACAGATGAAAGAAGTTGTCAAGGTTACATGCATCATGTGCAGTCATTGATTGTTCCTTATCAGTGAAGCCGTAGATTATCCGAGCGCACCCGATAACGGCGCACGGCGGCATTAGTCATGCAATTACCCAAATAGGCAATCCAACTCCCATCACCATCCGCATCATTAATTACACTGAAACTTTCTTGTCTTCTGTCTGATGAACCTCGGTGCCATCCTTGTGCTGAACAGGTTCCTTCTCTAGGGCGTCTCCGAGGATGTCCGCTCCTTCTGTTGCGTGGGAAGCTCCTCCAAACAAGGTATCGATCTCTTCAAGCGGAACCTGCTTCGTCTCGGGGATGAAGAAGTAAACGTAGGCCGCCAGGACGATATTGATCGCCATGAAGAAGAATAAACACTTCAAACCTTCCTTTGCCAAGAAGGTAGGCAGGAATTGCTGAAATACGGCGTTGGAAACGTTCGGTTGGGACGTTAGTTATCTTGATATTCACGCGTGGTTGGTGTTGAGGCAACTTACTTGGGTTTGGGAGCACATCCCGACAGCCTGGGCACGAACGTTGGCACTGAAGATTTCGGCGGTGTAGACCCACGTTGTGGCTCCCCAAGATGGCTTGTAGAAGAAAGCAAAGAGGAACAAAAGGAAAACAATGGCAATTCCGACCGGCTCGGATTTGACACCCTTTGCGTCGGTCGGGGTTGTGAGGCCGACCACGGAGACGATGAGCATGCAAGTAGCCATACCGCAGGCACCGACAATGAAGAGCCATCGACGGCCGTACCTATCAGAGGTCCACATTGCGTTCAGGGTAAAGAGAATTCCAAAAGTCGCGTTGAGGGCGTTGATAAGGTTGATCTTGTTGACGTCGCTCCAGACCTTTTTGTAGATGGATGTAGAGTAAGAATTGAGAGTACCCTGGCCAGTAAGCTGCTGGCCGATGTTGAGGAGACTGCAGAGAAGAAGTCGCTTGCGAACTGAAGGGTCTCGGAACAGCGCAGAGTAGCTAGAGCCCTTGAGAGCTTCCTTCTCATACTCGATGGCACTGCGGATAGCCCTAAGCTCCTCCTCAACCTCTTCCTCAGTGTCTCTGATCTTTTGGAGTGCTTTTCTGGCGGCCTCGACATTGCCGTTCTTGTTGATATGCCAACGTGGAGATTCTGGGATGAAAGGCACCAGGACACAGACAATAGCGGGGACGAGGATTTGGAAGAGGACGACGATCTTCCAGTCCCATTGGCCAAGCTTCTCCCTGTTCTTAGAGCAAGCATAGTTGACCCAATAGGTAATGAAACTACCAACGGAGTAGTTCATCTGCCAAATTGTCATGACGGCGCCTCGGATCTCGGCTGGGGTGACCTCGTTGATATAAACCGGGGCTGCAGTCAGAGCCATGCCTTGGCCGAGACCAATGATAACACGACCGGCAATGAAGACTCCAATCTTTCGGTAGGGGAAGAAGGTCTGCATAAAAGTGGCGATGATGGTGACGAAACATCCGCACCACATTCCCCAGCGACGGCCCATGAAATCGGCCAAGGGCCCTCCGATGAAGAAGCCGGAAACAATGGCACCAATTGTGTAGGCGGTGTTGACTGCGTAGTAGAAAGTTAGTTGATGGCAGTCCAAAGAGAAGCAGGGTACTACATACTCAAACCAAGCATCTGGGAGTTCTTGGTGACATCAAGGTCGACATAGTCCAACCAGTTGTCGGAACCTTGGATACTGTTGAAGACGGAGGCATCATATCCGTAGAGCACCATGCACAGAGCAGCAACGACGGAGATGTACCTGGTTCGAAGCACTCATCAGCATAGTCTTTTATTAGAAACGGTCGTCATGCCTTACCAATTGTACCACTTCTTTGAGCTCGGCATTTTGCCAATTGTCTCAAAGAGAAGGAGACTCGGCTAGGTGTGGAAAAGAGAAAATGGGCAATCTCAGAGGAGTTGGCGACCTAGACAAATCACTCTCCAAGCCTTTGAAGTCTCAGTCCAAAGAAGACAGGCAAGTGTCCAGATTTCCGTGACGGGAAAGGGAATGAGAAGGAGTGGTAGCATTGGGAAAGGGGGAGGAGAGGGAGCTTATATCTTCAGGACCATGGTGTTTCCTCCGCATGGATGGGGTTTTACGGGGCAAAGTACCCTCCTCCACCGCACTTCAGACAGGCATGGCTATTCGATTCGACCCCATGGCACAACATGTGTTGGCCTCGGGGGAGCTGGTAGAATTTGGCATAGAGGTCCGGGATTTCGACGGCGAAAATTGTACGTCCCTATCGGATGGGAGACGAATTCCATCCGTCGAGAACTGGGGACCCCGGTTCACTTGGATAGCATGATCAGGGTGGTTACAGTAAGAAGCTCCAGGCCATTTAGTTTGGCAGGCCCTTGTCAATCTGATGGAGACTACATATGCGGCTGTTTTGGGCAGTGGTTTGGCCACGCCCCGGCAACTAGGCTGGGGACAAGGCTCGCCAAGTTCTCACACTTGACCCCTCATTGATGGGGAAAAGAGTCTCCATACTCCAGACTCCATACTCCAGACTCCAGACTCTAGGCTCCATGCCCAACTCTACGCGCTTTACCCCGTGGATATAAAGCTTACCCAGATGGGACCAGTCACGTCCATATTTACCCAGCAGGCTAGACACAACTGACTCAGAGAGGATTAATTGCAGTCGGCAATTTAGGGCGGATCTAATCGACACACCACATGCATACACATCTGCAGTCGTCCACATGGCAAATAGCCTGAAGGCAGGCTCTTGACTCCCAAAATCAGACTATATCCAGCGCTGATCAACTACTCCGTCTGTTCAGATTCATGCTCGTAACACACGTATGAGCAGGTCAGCGACGCCCTCCGTCTGAAGGTTTTCCTCTGCCTTGATGGAACTTCCCGGGGCCCTGACTCAATCCATGGAAGTGGTTCGTGATCTGGCGTGTGTTGAAGTCCAAAGGACCCACCACAAACATCGCTGATTGGAGGAAGAATATATCCCCGTGGTCCGCCACCATGCAGCCGCTCCAACGGCACGGAGGAAAGGCCCTAGTTCGTTTGTAGCTTCCCGCTCAAAGGGGCCAATCAGGTGACCGATTCACGGAGCCCCCCTTCCCAGCTACCCTAGAGCCTGTGACAAGGGAAATTACGTGCCAAGCATCCATCATCCAGACATTGTGAAGCAGACGGAAAAATTACTTCGACATATTTCAACCCTGGATCTACGCGTAATCTAACCATGATCTAGATCCTGGAAGTAATACGCCTTCGGTTGCGCATTCCCAGGTTGGTTGGTGGTTCTTACCCTGAACGAGTCCACCCCAATGTACCAAAATCATCTTGAGGGTTGCACAACGCAACCCCAGACACGGGAAATCGGCACAGATACACCACACTTACGATCTGGGTTGGTCCAATACTTAGTGAAGCTCACAATCCTTTTACAGACCCTGGTCGGGTTGTTGGCCCCTCAACAACGCCAGCCCACATCATGCGATACCCGATGATTCAGTGTTGCACCCCTCGTGGAGGTGTACGAAGTGGAGATGTACTCAATTATTGATCGAATACCTCAGACATCTAGTGCATCTCGGCAAAATAAACGGTCTCTCGTGTAAGCTAAGCAATCAATTTTCAGACGTCGAGTTCTTCCTAGCTCCTCGCTTGAACCACATAGCTGGGCTCGCGGAGCAAGCGAAGCATTTATCCCATTGGCAGCGCCCGAATTCAGACTACCTAGTTACAAGCGGCATATACGAACATTCCATTATCATCGCCTCTCTGTCATCTACCCTTCTGGCTATGTTGCTGGTTAGCCCCCAACATCTCTTTGCGCCTACCCACAGTATGCTCACCTCATCACCCATACAAGCTGCCTACATGGCATACGACACTTCTGCCCGTCTCTGAACAGCTTACCCGGGTACCTATGAAGGGCAGATGGTCTACCCTTGGCTCGAATATGGCCGCTAAATCAGGACACCCCCGTTCAGCAACGCCGTGCGGTCGTTGAATGCCTTCCGAAGGTGCATTTCGTGCCGATATGCATCCTCCATCTGTTCTTTCAACGTCCCGTGACTGATCGCTCTGAACTCGGAGTGAACGCTCGTCTTAACAGTTGTCACTTGCTCCGAAGTCGACTGATCCGGCGCCACCTTATCCAAGGCTTGCTGTATCTTGTCCAGGTCGCCTTTGGTGACGAAGAAAACGCAACGCTTATCGCCCAAGCCTCCACGCTTCAAGTCCTCAATCGCCTCGCGGCCTGGTATCTCAGGAATGAGGCGGCCCAACTCCAACAGAAATTCGGCTTCCTTGGACGGGGACAAATCGGGCTCATCGGACTCGAAGACCTCATAGATGAGGCCAAGTCTCTGGTACACAGTGATACCACTATACATGACGAATTGGTGTAAGCCATCATCATCTGTGGACTTAGCAACAGCCTCTAGCATGTCTTCCTGCAATGTGGCGATCAAAGGGCACTCGATACCCGACTCTGTCACGAGGTTGGATATGTCCCATGCGCAGGCGAAAGGGTAACGGCAAGCGATGGCAAACTGCAGTGCCAATCGAAAAAATGCACCATTCGGGCGGCAGGCGAAAAAAGGGTGCACAATAATGTTGGCCAGTTGGTGGACGAACTCGAGAGGCCATAGAGCCTCGTGGGTTATCTCCCCTACCTCGACCTGGTCATTTACATTTTTGCACGAGAATCCATGGTGAGCCGAGAGAAGCCAGTAAGGAGATTCTTGATAAACCAAGATGGTAATATTCCAGAGATTGAGTGTCGACTCATTCATCATGTCTCCCATGTCGTCCATCGACCTTGTCAGCTCAATCATTGCAGATACAATTCTATGGTCGCTGTCGTACTGGGCCTGCTTCTCTCTGGTTAGTTCTGCAGGAAACCAAGGGCGAGTAATTTGGGCAAGCTGATAAGAGCGAACCGGAGGCTTTGTTGAGAGTATGTCGACTGCAATCTTGAAACTTGTCCTGCATCCTGGCAACCGGGACCCTTCTCTCGCTGTGTCGGTGACGCTCTGGTCCCGAAGCGTGTCTCTGATAGTAGAGAACTGTGATTTCATTTGCCGTGAGAGGTCTTGTTTGGCAGGCCGGAATGCGCTTCGAGAGCGTGCGTCAGAAGGAATCGATTCAAAGCCTTCGTTACTACCGGTGTGTCTGTAACGATCCGAGCCTTGCTGTATCATTGCATCCTGGTCCCGGAGGGCATTTCGAGAGCGTCCGTCGGAAGAAATCGATCCAAGGCCTCTGTTATTACCATGATGTCTAGGATGATCTGAGCCTTCCTGGATCATTGCCTGCTGGTCCCGGGATGCGAGGCCACAACGAGCTAGCAAAGCTCGAACCCGTGCCATTACCCGCCCTTCGGACTCTTGCATCATTCGCTTGTGAAGATCTATCTGGGAGCGTCGAACCTGCATCATGGTTCTGTCCTCGGACTCTTGTATCATTCTCTTGAAAACGTCCGCCTGGTTTTCTCCGGCCTGTGGCATGATTCTCTCCTCCATGATTCTCTCTTCAGACTGTTGGATCATTCTCCCGAAGACATCCATCTGATTCCCCTGGACTCGTGCCATGGTTCTTTCCTCGGAGTCTTGGATCATTCTTCCCACGTCCAATTGATTTTCTCGAACTCGCTTCGTGATTCTTTCCTCAGATTCTTCGACCATCTTCTTGGTAAGCTCCATCTGGGATTCCATTTCGACGCCACTGTCCATACTGGGTGGGCCATCTTGACTATCTGATCGAGCCCCAGACGCAACACGCTGTCGATAAGTAATCTTCCTAACCCGTCGTTGTTGACCCGATGCCGACCAGGAGTTCGAAGCAGCTTGGTCATCTTGTTGCCAAGCAGGAGCTTCAGAACGAGCTTGCATGCTGTCGTGGTACTGTCTTCCGCTGCCACGGCGAGCTATGGGCCGACCTCTGGATGACCCACGCTGGCCACGAGGGCCCCCTCGCCTATGAGTCTGGCCTCGACCCTGTTCCTGGTGATAAGTGCCCTCGCGTCGGCGCTGATCTTCGAATTCGTCCTGGCTCTGGAGCATACCAGCCAGCCGATCTCGAGGGTTGCCTCCAGACATACCTCTCGATTACTGCCCTCGGTTATTCTTAGCAATTATTTGTAACTTACAAGCAAATCACGAAGACCGAAAGGTTTCTCGAGAAGGCGAGTTGTCCTTACTGGTGGTGACGTTGGGGAAATGATCGGAGGGCTGGGGGCAGGCCGGGGGGAATTGTACTGGTTCGGGGGGTGACATGAAAACAAAGTGAGCAGAAAGTGAGAGAGCAAGTTTTGGAGGGAGCTAGCGCGACAACGCGAGATGTACCTACTGAGCGACAAGACTTGCTTGGTACTGAACAGTCCGTTTCGTCCTTCTGTGTCCATATTCTCATGCAACAGACAAGCACTGTCTCTATGGCTGAGGTAGATGAACCAGTGCTGTTCTACACGATATTTTATATGGTCCAACAAGCACTATGCAGGACGGCGGCCCCTTTTGAGCCCATGCAAGACCGGCGTTTTGTCTCGAGCAGAGCCTGTACCCCCAGCGAAATCGCCTAGCCATAGCAGATCAACAATTGTTTCCCTATATGTGTTTGTGTTGGCCCGGATGGTTTTCCATTCTCAACTCATATCGACGAGCAAACAGTCCCCCCTCTTGAGTGCATCTTGATTAAACAAGTTCCATTGGAGGAAATTGACACTTTGTTTGGAGGAGCTTATCATGCTGAGAAGGGCGCAAACGTGCTTAGCGATCTTTTGCAGAAGACAAGATAGACCTCAAGGACGGTACGCGTGAGGTTTGTCAGACGAATCATCTCAACTTTAACAACGAATCATCTCAACTACAGCGAATCGCCTGAAATGGTACATGTTGGGAGTTTCGCTGTACGATGAGAAATTTGACCTTATCAAGGACATATCATTTGAAGTATTGCCTACTATCGATCTATTCTCTCTTGACATGGTTTTCCATCTTGATAAGGGGGGTTTTTGGCTTGCTCGCCTCATTCGCGGTTGACACAATTGAACGACCATCGTTCGACTTGGGTGCCGGTTCAGATCCAGTCGATGAATTGGGACAGGCCCCAACCTCGTACTTGAACAGTGAAGATTTGTGTTCAACCATTCGGTAATCCAGGAACTTTTAATCAGGGGGCAATGGTGTATTGTTTGCCGTAATCTCTGCTGCCTGTGCATTGAAGTCTCTATAGACTTGATTGATATCATCAATACTAGACTTCATGATAAGGTGGCGACAATCCAATGTGGGTGCCTGCTCTAGTTTAGCTGCGCATAGAAAGGAATTTTTCGTCCATTCTTTCGTAAAATCCTCGCATAGTTTTGCGTGGATCTCTGAATTAGCGTACCGGTCTAGCAATTCATCGGTGTCATGAGTGAGATAAGGATTTCCAGTTCGAAAGATTGCAATCAATGCATTCCGATCATGGATTGCTTGGTCCAGTTGCTTGATCAACTCATCTCGTTCCTGGATGACACGTTCCATGTCAGAGCGACCTGGCATATTGATATTACCATCCTTTCCAATTCCGGAAATCTTTGGCGGTAGATCGATATCTTCCTGGGAGCTGCTTAGGAATACTCTGTCGTATCTGGCAGAGGGCGGACCATCTCTCGCGGAATCGGGGCGCCTAAGAACAGGACCAATAAGATACCACACATGTCCCATGTGTGGTTTATCTTTATGTTCGGCTGTCCTCCCTGCGATTTCGATAGCTTTGTTAAGAACAGTCCTGTCTCCTAAGGAAGTTATTCCCATGGTTACACCAGGGTTCAAACATTGAACGGGGGATACCAGATTGGTGGCACGGCCATCAAATGTGACCACGTTTATCAACGATTTCTCTATGCCATTCTCGTCGGTATACTTCTTCAGTCTCAAGTCCAAGCGATCACATCTGGGACGAGTTGGTTCTTTTGCTCGAGCCTTGCTACCTTTAGGTAGCCTAGGAGCACCACTCCAGCTTTTCTCTGGAGGATTGGTGCTAACCCACTGCGTTCTTTGATTTTCCGCTTGGACTGGCACCTGATTGGACTGGCCCTGAATCAGTCCTTGTTGATAGCAATGCTGCATCAAAATGGACTGATCTTGAGCCTGTGCAACTCGTTGCGCCAAGCCCTGGGTTGCACTATAGGGAACGAGACCGTTGCCTGTGAAATTGGCAACACTGGCAAGATCATTGCTGCCCAGTGTGCTAATGTCAATGTATCCATTGCCTAAGCGTGCCATGCTAAGTCTGCTTAAGAGACTGCCATCAGACATGCCGATGGCGGTCTGTGGAAAGAGCGAATTCGCTCCAAACATTCCGAAACCAAGCGTCCCACCGGGCGTTGGCGCGGGTACTAAAGACTGAGTATCGTCTTGTACATTTTCATTCTGGTGGAAGTTTCCACTTAGAGATCCTCCATGGCCTCCAGTAGATCGTGTCTGGCTGCGACCTCGATCATTTCCCTGTGGCTTGGGTAGCCTTGAACAAAGTAGCTCGAATTCTTCGAGCTTTTCTTTGCGTCTTTTGGCCGATTCTTCGTCATCATTATCGTTTGGTCTTTTTGATGGATTTGTTCCTGACATTGTGAATATTTGTATGGGAAGAATGAAGGTTGATGTGTCTTGTGGTTGGTTGATTGGTTGGTTGGTCGGTCGGTTGTTGAGAGGAAAACTTGCAAATATCGGATTTTGCAAAAGTGAGATCAGTTTGTGAGTTTTGTGCGCCACATCAGAACTCGACTGCTGTCAACAATCTTCAATGCAGTTTGCGGCATTCTTTAGCCTGACACCTCAGGCAGAGAGGGTTGGCCGTCAGAACCACCTCACTATTCCTTCACATATTGAAATCCAACTTTCGCAATCCGCCTTTTTATGTCGTCAATTTAATTGTTTTTCTTTTCATTTCTGCCTCCCCCAAAACGCGCTACGCTTATTAAATACTAGGAACATGAAAAAGATAACCAAAAAAATAATCAAGGAGCGCAGCTAGACGAATCGCAGGCACACAAGATAAAGGATGTGACCAAAAAGCAAATCAACACCTCCGACAAGGTGCAGGCAGAGGGGCCAATACACATTCACTTTGATATCATGGAAATCGATTTATTGCGCGTAGGTGGCAAGGAACTCCGGGTGACACTGTTGCAAACACGCTTGCTCGAGATTTGGGTGACGGGGCTCACAATAACCGGTTCTGTTTGGCCCAGCAAGAAGGCTGAAGGGAAATTGAATCAAAGTTTTTGCCATCCATTATTTGACAGGACCAGTATTGCCTGTGATGTCCCCGTCCAATGAACCCCTGCCAAGCTTCCCCAAACGGCATGCTAGTTGACGTCCAGGCCCACGTAATTCTCCTCAATTTTAGCTACCAGCCGGCTGGTGTTTCATGCTCATGCCGTATCATGTTGTTGCCGCCGTAGATTGTAAAGCAGGCTTGCGCGCGAACAGCGTGTTTGCATCGGCTGAGTGGATAAGTCCTGCTTGCCTTAATCGTGGTAAGCAGACCTTGGTAGGACAATGCCAGGGTTGAGCTTGGTGTTGACGCTCCAAAGATCCTACGGGATGGGAGCTCAAAGTAAATTATAGTGTACTATACGAGCAGGCACTTCCATAAGTAGAGAGAATTTGTCCCGCCTTAGGCTTGGCATCCGCTCGGAAGCATATGGCGATACGGCCCTCCCCATTCACATTATATCACTTATTGCCTTGGGGTTATTAATAAATATTTGGTTAATTGAGCAAAACAATAGCATGATATTGTTCAAGTGAGACACTTCTGCCAGGATGATAGTTGACATATTGTGTTCCTCACAAGTACTTCCAAACTACCTAAGTATGTTGAAAGGCCGGGAGGGTACACTAAAGACCCCAGTATCTCAAAATCACAAGAAGGAGAGGACTAAGACCAATTCTCACACTTCAGCATTTGTTCATTACAAGATCCAAGTTATTAATGATAGGTCATAAATTGACGAGAGCATCGCTACAGCCTGAGGTCGCCTGCCAAGGCGGAGTTTTGTAAAGAGGACTTGTTAATCACATAGCTTCCTACGTACATCGGGCGATAGAGTAGAACCTCTTGCACATACAGGGCGAGATTATAAAAAGCTTGAAGCAGGTTTGACCTTTTGATGGAAGGAGTAGAGAGACAGTACATTCAGCTTTCACTTGGGAAACCGGCACAAATTAACTTGGCTATCAATACCAACCAAGGGCCGCCACCTTTAACCCATGCTAATACACACTTTCTTTTCTTGCACATGCATGCTCTACTTAGGCTGTGTCTTGTCGTAAAAGTTCTTTCTTTCTTCGCTTTTTCGTGCCTGTGACTCGGGCCCTATCTTGAGGTCCGGATCCAGGGGCTTTACGTCCACGCAAGTGGATTGGAGGCACCCGCTGGCTCTAGCTAACCTCACCGTGTGGTGCCTTTCGCCCATCGTTCAGCCTGCCAACCTGTTCCCCGCGCGTATAGACAGCTGCGCTGTTGCCTTGGTGTTGCGTAGCATGATAGTCTGGTTGTGTGGCGGCGGTTCTTTTATCAGGGAACGGCTCGAATTCACCGAGCAGGGCTGTTCCATTGCGGTACGGCTCGAATTCGGCGAGCATGGCATAAAGCTCTAGCGGTTTTGGCGGCAATGGCTGATCTCTCTGGGCTACAGAGTCTTTTGTAATCCACGGCGCTGACGCGGCGTACATGAGCAGGCCCGAAGTTTCCTTGCTAATAATGATGGTCGACAGGTCTTTCTGCCCTGGGGCCCAGCCCCTGTCATTGCCATATCCAATCGGGTCACAGAACGAACTTGTGTGCCTACCCTCGCAGCTGATGGAAACCACGCCAACAAGTAGGTAATGTTGTGTGTAGTGTTGGTGGCTGTAGACTCCTGGTGCCCTGAAGCAGCCGATCCACACATCAAGCTCTCTTGGAGGTCTCACATCCGCCTTGACACTTCCAACAGTCACCTGTATGATGTCAGGGCGGGCTGACAGATATGGCCTGCATCTTCCATGCGTATCGGGGGTAGGTGTTACCAAGGCGTTAATGATCGCCTCCAACGATCCAGACCCCTCCCATTCGAGAAAGGCGCGATTGGTTAACATGGTCGATGATTCTTCCCCCTCGTCTACAAGGAAACCCCCCTTGCGGCTTGCGCGCATTGAGACCGGACCGGCTAGTAGGTGGAAGTCTGGGAATGTCCAGATTGTTGACATCATGGTCTCGCACTGTAAAAGATCCAGAACCGTCTTGCGGGAGAGCCCAGATCCCAAATGCAGATCCCGCTCAACTTCTTCTCTTGGTGGTGCTGCTGCTGGTTCCCCTTGCATGTACCTTAGGATGGGGTTTTTCTTATGCATCCTCGTGAGTGCAACAAGGATCTCTGCTGCAGGGCCGCTTTGCTTAGCTCGGACGTGGGCAATATGCCTTAACACGTCAACCAATGCGTCAACCTCACCTTTCAAGGTCACTAACTCCTCCAAATTATCGGGTCCCATGCAGCCACTCAAGAGGGGTGTTTCTTTCGGCGGCATTGGCGATTTCGCCACGGCTGCCTGCACTGTCTCTCCTTCTTGGGCCGCTGACCAGTGGCCCAGCTCGGGAGGCCACTGTGCTCCTTCTTCGCTTTCCACAAGTTGCGTCTGCTTCTGCTTGACTGGCATAACCCCTCGGGTTGTACACCACTGCTCCAGCCGCTCATATTCCAAGAAACTGCGTACCCGCTCTTCGGTTGACATCCTGGAGACGTTTGATAGCGCCAGTTCTGTCGACGTCTCATCCTTGAGTGATGGGTAACCGCAGGTTAGGCCCATCCCAGTCCTCCATGCCTTATAGACGAAGGAGGGTAAACCCGTTAGGGAAGAGAGCTCCGGCACCTTCCAAGGGAACTTGGGTTTTGGCTGGCCTGGCATATATGCGCTGACTGAAAACCTCCTGTCAGTAAACGAACGAAACTATTTCTCTGCGCGAATGTGGGAGAAACTTACAGATGTCAGTCCACATTACATGGTCAACCTTGAGGCTGAACATGCCGGAATGCAACCATTGGTATCTATTCCTGGTCAAGTGCTCGAGCACTGTTTTCATCCCTTTGAGTCGGTATGTTCCCACGGTGTCGGAATCGACCGGCAGCGCGAAAAGGATGAATGAATCCATGTACAATTGCCGGGAGGGTTCCTCACGCCAGTCCGGCATTCCACCTTCAAGGTTGAATACGTACTCTTTTCCCCGGAGGGATACCATTTGCATATGATCTAGTAGATACGCCATGCCTGGTCTACTAAAAATACGAATGAAAGAAGGATCGAGCGTTGTATTTGTCGATGTGTGTGTTTCACGCGCGCGCGTGTGTTGTGTGGTGGAAGGTTGAGTTTGGCCTCTCTCACTTTTCCCTTCTAGATAATGGGCCTGCACAAAGCTACACGTACCTACTAAAACAACGGCCTCTACCAACTAACCTAAGGTACGGGTATCTTAAGCTACAGTGAATGTACCTAACCAACGGCTCCCCCTAACCTAATTGACGGCCTCTCCCTAAATAAGCGACGGCCCGTACCAATTTCATCCACGGCTCGCTCAGTTCTGAGGGGTCACTCACTTCTAATTACCTAGGTAGGTAGGAATGCAACAGCTCCCTTCCCCTATTTTCCTTCTTTTTGCTTGCATCAGCTACTACATCGACGTCTCCTAACGCAATCATATCAGTCAAATTTTAACCATTTTAGCTGTGGCCAAATCCATAGCAATCACAGGAGCCAAAGTGGCTAAAATATAGCGGAAGAGCCTCTCCAGCTACAGGCGCTTAAGGTTCTATAGGTATCTTGAAGTTGTCCTTAATGGAACGGCTCCCACCGAACTAATGGCTCCCACCAAACTACCTATATAACTAATGGCCTACACTAAACTAACTAATGGCTCCCATTAAACTAACTAATGGCTCCCATTAAACTAACTAATGGCTCCCATTAAACTAACTACATTTACCCAGTAGTTCACCACGCCCACCAAGTTCATCACGCCCCACCAAGTTCATCACGCTCCACCAAGTTCATCACGCCCCACCAAGTTCATCACGCCCCACCAAGTTCATCACGCTCCACCAAGTTCATCACGCCCCACCAAGTTCATCACGCCCACCAAAGTGACAGTGGCCTCACCAAGCCAACCGACAAAGCGTCTACCCGTCAACCCGTGTTCTGACGAATCATCTCCACTAAGCAAAGGACTCACCTCCACTAAGCAAAGGACTCACCTCCACTAAGCAAAGGACTCACCTCCACTAAGCAAAGGACTCACCTCCACTAAACAAAGGACTCATCTCCACTAAATCAATCAATCACTAGCCCTACGCCAAACTGACAGTTGCCCCACCAAAATAACAAGTCGCCCCACCAAGTCAAGACAGCGTGTTTACCCATGTTGACGTAAAATAATGCTTCTTCAGAAGCTGCACCATCACCAACTGCAACAACAACAACAGCACCAGCACCAGCAACATCATCAGTGATGGCAGGAAGAAACAGTGCCCAGCCAAGCGGCAATGGTAATGGAACTGGTAATGGCAATCAAAGCCAGGGTAATGGCAATCGCCATGGCAATCGAAGCCAAGGAAGCGACCAAAATCGCCGTGGTAGCTGGAGTTCACGATCGCCCCGAAGAGATCGTTCTCGATCAAGGGATCGCGGTCGGTCACGCTCCAGGGACTATTTCAGGGACCGTCAAGGCGACGTCAACCAAGCGTATCGGATGGCAGATCGCACCCACCAGTACCCATACGGATCGTATGGATGGGGATGGGGTTACACCCCGCAGCCGCAATGGGGCCAACATGGTTATTATCCCGGCCCGTACGCGATGCCTCCCCCACCACCCCCACCACCACCACCGCCGTGCTCTTGCGCGCCATATCGGTGCGATGGAAGATGTAGGTCTGACCGTCGCCGGTCTGACTGTCGCCAGTCTCGACCGCGGCGCAGAGGCCAATCGCCATACCGCCAGGAGTCCAGGCGGCGTCGATCAAGATCGCCAGAGCCCAGAAGGCCAGGAAACTCGCAGTCGCGGAATCCATCTGTCAGTCCTGAAGGCACAAACATCATTACATTCAGTGATGGTACCCAGCTCCCCCTCAGGGCTAGGCAGGTGCCCAGAATCCACATATATGAACAGCAGTCTGACGATGGGACATCGACGCTGACGTCGATCAACTCCAATACCGGCGGAGGCCCTCATACAAACATCGTCTCAGTCGAGCAGGATCCGACGACCGGCCAGCCGGTAGTGGATCTGGTCTTCAATGACCCTAAGCTCCGGGATATAAACGCCATCGCAAGCCACCTACAGTCATTGTCTGATCAAGGCGCAGTTAGGATTACAATGCACGCGTTACATCGTCGCAAGAACAAGAACGACCCAAAGAGGTTGATCCCGCCCTGGATATCCGAGCCGATGGGTGGACAAGATTCTATCGTGCCACCACCTCCACAGAATGAGGGTAACTCCGGTACAGAGGTTGACACACGTAGGTCCACAAACGCAACCCAAGCCCCAGGGAACATACCCCAAGCCCCAGGGAACATACCCCAAATCCCAGGGGACACTTCACCTGTCATGGCAAACCCGCCAGCTCCCCATTACGGCGTGCTTGATGATATAACGCGTGATAGTGCAAGAATGTCGGATTCAGTCACGACAGATTCAAATATGCCTCAGGAGCAACCAGGTGACGGTAATCCGGATCCTCTAAGCGACCTACCTAGAGTTCCACCAGAGCCTAAGGATTACGTCGATTATAGTGACGATGAAACAAATGATCCGAATTAATGGTATGTGTGGGTAGGTATCTGCATGGTATGGCATTTTGCTAGAGGAAAGGAGGCTTGTTATATAGGTATATCAAGTAGAATCCATGCATGTGTAATGAATAATGTTCTGTTATACATACATCTTGATCCTGGCTTTACGTGAATTTTACAAATAGGTGAGTATCAGTTGTCTGTGTCTGTTGGCGGGCGTTGTGGTGCCCGCATTGTCTGGTGCAAGGTAGACATCACCTCATCCTCACCCTTCTCGCTCCATGCTCACCTTGGAATGTGCAGCCTAGTATATCAACAATCGTAGAGAATTCAGCTGCGCTGTCACCTTACCACCATCATCATCATCCGAGTTTCTCGCCATCATCCACACGACATGGACGCGGAAGGACGTGAACGAGTTGTAGCCCAGGCTACAGGAGTGATGGGATATGTGTGCACAGCTCGTCCTAAGCTGGAGCAACATGAATTGGCAACAATATGCCGTCCGGACAGAGGAGAAGGCTGGACCACCGAGCAAGAGGAGTGGGCAGCACACGACGTGGGCGTGTGCGAGGATGTTAGGCTTTTCCAGCTTGCGCTGGAGCAAATGTCCAAGAGCCACCTTGAGAAGCTTGTCAAGGTCTCAAAGGTGTGCATGCGGCTCTTCCGTATGACGCCGATCGAGTTACTCTCCCCAAGATTCGGGCTCGTTTATTGCAAGCGGAAGACTGGGGTTCCACTGGCCCACGACCTTCTGGGGCCCAGCATCCATCCCTGATCCTACAACTCTTCCTCGACAAGCTATACATGGTGCTTTTGCACCCAATCTTTGCCCAGAGGCTGACACTTGACTTCTTGGTATTTGTCCTTCAATTCACGTCAATCTGCCGCACCCGGGACCCGCGGCGCTGGCAGGTGCCCGAGCTGGAGAAGCTTCGTGGCGATGCCCACATTCAGGCGATGCGTGAACACTTGAAATCCGCTCAAGTCAATGGAAAGGGCGAGCTCGCATACCATCCGTCCCGTGTGCTGCGGGAGGTATGCGCCGGGGCACCTGATTCAATCTCTGCAGAGGCCAGCCTGCTCTTGCGTATAATTGGCGTTGCACTCCAAGGTAAGGCTACAGGCGAGCTGGCAGCTGTCGATGAACACGGCACGATGCAGTACAGCGTTTACCTGGCCGATATTGAAAATGTCTGCACGGCACTCTCCCTTGTTAACCCTCCTCAAGTCACTGTCAAGGAAGCGGTCACTATCTGGCAGCAGATACACCCGGGGGGCAGCCACACAGGCTACCCCTCTGTTGCGACCATTATCAACGATATCACAGACTCATACAAGCACCAGAAAACTCGACAACGTCTCAAGAGTCACTTTAGCACCAACAAGATGCCCCTGGATGTTGGCACCGGAGTTTCGTTATTGGCACCGAATAAAAGCACCAGTTCGGACATAGACAGCCGGCCGTGTAGCAATGTACCGTCACTACCTGCAATGACCCATGCCTCCAGTGGCGTGTCGGCCGATACATCTGATTTTGCACCGATCGCTTTATCCGATGCCAACAACTCTCTGCCAGACATCGCGCCGCCTGAGCTCACCGATTAATCAGACGACCAGGAGGCATCACGATATACAACATTTTTGAAACTTCCGCCCAGGTGGACCGCCACACCCTCTGGTTTCAGGTCGTTGGTCTATACCTGTGTCAATCCAAAACGATCGCCGTCAGGGTCAGAGATGCGCTAGTCAAGTAGGAGCAAAGGAGGAGCGGTGTTCATTTTAGCCAAGTCCGTGTGCACATTGGAACTAGGGGACACTCCCAATAGTAGAGAGCTGATAAGCTGTATGATCGCTTGTCTCTATAGTTAATGATAGTGGTACCTTTACTTTGCTATGCATTTGCATTGCGTCTAATAAAGGTAGGTTGGATTCAATTTCCAATATAATGCACAGAACATTGAAAGCAATGGATGTCCTGGCTGCAGTTGTGCAGATTTGTCTACCTCAACCAACGGCCAACCCCAAGCTACATGTACCTATGCTATATCCTACCCAGTATGGCTAAACTCCAGTGTGTCCCCAATAGACTGATAAAAAGCAAGAACCAGATCTTCTGCCTTGATGGATAACATATTCATGTCATCTGCCATCTAGATGCCGTTTGTCCCATTAGAAAAAATGATAACTTGATCACAGCCCTCACTCTCTTGATACGCGGGCGACACATGTCGCTGACTTCAAACCCTAACCCGCGCCTAAACGCCGTGCTATGACTCTACGTCCTGCGTAATTTAAGGTAGAATTGCAGAGAATTTCGGTGTAGTATGTCGAGTTTAGACTATGACAGGTCTACCAAACTAATAAAGTCGATAATGGAGCTTACTCACCGGAGGAAGAAGCAAGTGCATCAACCACACATCTCATCTCAGCCAGAAGTTCGTGATGGTCGCTCATTATCACCTTATAATAGATCTCCACTGGAGGTCATTGAATAAATACTCTTCTTTCTATCTCATATGAATTTGTTGAAGGGTAACCTGAGGGAGTGCTTAGGTGTGCCATCTCCTCCGTCACCCACTTGCTATCCAGCAAAAGGAGATTCCCTACTACTAGCCGACTCAATCGATCCTATTGTAGCAATAATTGTAGCCTAATGTTGGGGGAGTTGGCCCGAAATATGAAATTTACGATCAGGGGTAGTTTGGTTCGAGGCCGCGTATTGGCGCATTAAGTGATATTATAATAATCACATCAATGTGAGGCCATATCCCCTCAGGTTCTATGTACCAGAGATTGATTTATTACTGTTTCCATCATCTGTTCGTACTAGATTCATTCATCCAACCCTTTTACGGGATGCCTTCTTGTCTTCGATCTGATGAACCTCACGCGTACCGTCCTTGAGGTCTATCTTGTCTTCTGCAAAAGATCACTAAGTAGTTAACGCGACATTGAAACCACATTCGAGGCATTCAAAGCCTTCATCACTTTTCTCTCACTTTCCTACTACCACTCCTACTTCAACTTCCACCTCTACACAAATTGACACACGCACATACACACACCCACTCACTCACGAACATAGCGATAAACGCTACATCGAGGAACAATGGGCATAGACAAAAAGCCACGCGTACCGTACATGACGGCAGAGTCCCTTCGAGGACCCAACTATGTATTTCAAAGGGAATTACCCGACGTGACCGATGTGATCGCGCGACGCAGGTACATGGACACGTTCATCTGCCACGTGATGCCGGTCACCAACAAGCAGATAAAGGAGTATCGGATACAGATGACAATCGTGTATCTTCGAACTCTCATCAAGCGCCGCTTCCGGTGGGTAGCAGAAGACTGGCTGAGTTGCATGATCGACCTGCATACATGGAACGCCATCTGTGAGTAATATCTGCCAATAAACTTCACTCTATAGAAAAACAGGCTAACCTCCCACTCTAGTTCTCGCACATCCGCTTATAAAGGCGTTGCCAAACTTTCCATGGGTGCTCATAACCCATGATAGGTCATTGGATCCCTCGCGGATGTACAAGGACTTTAGGGAATTCCACTCTTTGGACAATGACCCGTGTAAAGACTTGAAGGACAATGGACCGTGTAAAGACTTGAAGGATAACGAGGTAACCGATAGGGAACTGGACTCGGCGTAGTAGGCGACATAAATACTCACCGAGACGAACTCCTGAAGGATTGGGAGCACAAGTTCTAGGCCTTTGGCGAGGATCCGATCGAGCGCGAAAAGCACGCTCTGAACCAGCAGACTCCACCAATCTGCCACCAGGAGAAGGGAAACATACCTGCGTCTTTCGATAGCACGGTATCGATTTAGAATGATCAGGCGATGGTCAACCCTAAGTCCGGGCAGCGTTCTGGAGACAACCCTGTGGTAGTCCACGCCGCCCTGGTCGACCTTTGGACGGAAATACAGTGGTATGAGAATTGGGAATGGTTGGGAGTAATCGCGTTCCCCTGGAAAATTAGGCTTCCCCACGAGACAGTCACAGACATGCTTCTCCCAAATCGCAAAACTATAGAGGCGATAGAAGTAGAGGGTCTGCTGATCGGGGTTGTTCGACGAGGCATGGGCGGTCGCACCATTGGATATACATCCATCTACAACCTTGCTCAAAGGAATCTAGAGAATGAGGATGAGGGGTCAAGGCAGTTTCCACTGGCCAAGATGCTCTATTCGAGGATCTTAAGTTCCGTAGGTGACCAAACCTCATGAGTGTGGTAGCGCACGGTATATCAGCACATCCCCGAAGGGTTGTCCACGGAATGGCGGACATGACGGGCCTCATAAGGAAGTGAATTTGATGTTTGATGGTCTCATGTCACTCAAGGTAGATGTTGTATGGTTTGATACTGGGCAGGTGTGGTTTGTACGGATAGAAGTGAAGGTCTATACAAATATGATACTGCTGTGTGGCAGTGCACCTGGAGAGGTTAAATATGATTCGAGTTCAGTGCGGTCCCTCTTCCTATTCTCATCCATGGGAAGGTATCGTTTGGTGCATATTCTATTTTCGCGTGTTCACTTGCACCATTGGATATAGGTGTTAGACAGCCAAGACAACATCTCTGATTTATGCAGGGCCTTCTTGGCTGGCAGGACTTGGCAGATGCGCCTCTTGGCACGCTGGGCTTGGCGCAAGATTATTTATAGGGCTGAAGCGAGACATGACCGAAAAATTGGTATAAGCCAACGCATGTCTCGCTGTTCCGTGTGCGTCGAGACAATTGAGGCTTCCCCATACGAACAATACCACCTGCATCATCATCCTCGTCTCGATCTGGATGAAGACAGGGAGTAGAGGTCAAGACTTGGCAACGAGCCGAGGAACCGATTTGATGTGGGTAGTTGGTGCGAGCTGAGGTGGGGACGGCAATCTCACAGCAATGCAATCATTGAGGCGGCGAGTTGAGTCTCGGCGCTGGATGCAGCGATTTGATCAGCTGGGGACCCATGGCCCTGGCCTGGAAGGAGAGGATCTGGACCGGCTGCTTTTAGCCTCTTCACCCAACCCGACCCCCACCCCGGTCAGCTGGGAGGCCGCCTGCGGTTTTCTGTTGTCACAGACTGATATTGGGAGGTCACGGAGAGGCCAACACATGCAGACTTAAATAGACCGAACAGTCTGACAGGGCGGTTCGGATTAAGCATAAAAACCAAAAGTTTAAGCATAACGATCCCTTACCTCTGCGCCGGGCTGGTTGAAACTCCAAAGGGGGAGACGGAGGGTTCCATCATCTCTGGGTGACGCTGACTCTGGGCGACGTGAGACTCGCACACACAGGGCGAGACGAGACGAGACTGCGTCAATGCAGTGGGCGGGCACATGTTTGCTGAGCACGTGTGTCTGAGGCTCGTCTGTCCCCTCGGCGTCTGCGCCGAGGACGGTATTCGGAAGGCCAATCTGAGTGAAAGCAGTAAACTCTGCATATAAACAGTGTAGGCCACGGGCGATCGGCCTATGTCATCGACTCAATACGACACCAGGGCTTCGCAGGTCGAGTAGAGGCTGGATCCGAATAGCCGTTGTGGCGTTGAGAAGCGCAAAAGCAGCGAGCCAAGCGGCCCACATCGGTACATTCGGCACGTAGCGTGCTGGCTGGGCCAATCAGCGGGCGCGATGTGTCGTGGGACCCCCCTGCAATATCCCTGCCTCGCCCCTGCCCTCGCTGTGGGTTTTCTTGGGGAGGCATCTCAACAGCGCCTCATTGACGAAATGTCTGTCGCGGTGCTTCCTTCCCTCGCCTACGCACGCGCGCCTGCCGTCTACTCTGCTGTGACGCTGCCCCGGTGTCGCAACGCGCGGCGATTCGATTTTGGCTCCGTTCCTTGTCCGTGAGCGTATTCCCCCACCCGTCGCCCATGCAGGGTGACGAGGACCAATCCAACAGAGCCTGCCTACCTTATTCTCTTATTAGGTATCGTCAGAGCGAGATAAGGCACCCTGACATTGAGCTTTAGCTTGTTTTCGGTCCCGTGTTTCATCATCGTGTGGGGGCAGATTCGTCAAGCTCTTTGTTTTTCTCCTTCGTCCCGACCCTTCCACTCCCTTCCTTGCCTGATCTCCAGCAACCTCTCCCTTTGTTCCCCTCGTGCTGAGTCAATCCTCGCGTCCACGGGAATGAAGAGGACACTCCGGTCGTCGTCTGTCGAAAGCCTGTCCGCTGCCCACGTTGCTGAGCTGACTCGCGGTCCTTGAGCCTCCCGTGAATACCCGGATCGCTACCTTTTTTCCCCTTCCCACGCTCTTTTCCCAATTGGGCCCAATTGGTATTGCCGCAGGTGCAGAGACAGTAGAGAGAGGCATATATCCCTTGCCTTCGGCGTCGGACTGGACTGGTTCTCCTATCGATCCCGTCTCGTGGTTGGTATCGTTCAATTAACATCCCCAGCCCAGGCCCGGGCTGTTCGTGTTCGAGGTGCTGTGTGACTCTCAATCTAGAGTGTCTTACCCATTCACTCGCCCAACATGGCTTGGAGTCACCTCAGCATCACGGACCCGCACTTGGTGTACATCATCCTCGGCGGCTTCACTACTCTGTTCATGCTCTGTTCCTCCTTCATCAAGGAACGCATGTACATTGGTGAGGCCACTGTCGCCACCTTGTGCGGAGTCATCTTCGGCCCTCATGCCGCCAACCTCATCAACCCCAATAACTGGGGGTCGACCGACATCGTCACCATCGAGTTTTCCCGTATCGTTCTCGTCGTCCAGTGTTTTGCCGTCGGTGTAGAATTGCCCAAGTTCTATATGGAACGGCACTGGCGATCCGTCATCTACCTGCTTATCCCTGTCATGACCTTCGGCTGGCTCATCGTGAGCCTGTTCATCTGGTGGATGATCCCCGCCTTCAACTGGTTGGATAGTTTGGTGGTTGCCGCGTGTGTCACGGCCACGGATCCCGTTCTTGCTTCCTCCGTCGTCGGAAAGGGTAAATTCGCCAAGCGGGTGCCGAAGCATCTCCGAGATTTGCTCTCTGCTGAATCTGGGTGCAATGACGGCATGGCATTCCCCTTCATCTACCTGTCTATTTATCTGATCCAGTACCATCGCAATGCTGGCGAGGTCACTCTCCACTTTGTCTGTTACACCATCCTGTACGAGTGTGTGTTTGGAGCTGTATATGGTTTCCTCATTGGTTACATCGCCCGCCATGGCATCAAGTTCGCAGAGAAGCGCGACTTGATTGATCGGGAGAGTTTTCTCGTCTTTTACTTTGTTGTTGCTCTCTTCTGTGCCGGCTCTGGTAGTATCCTTGGCGTGGACGACTTGCTCGTTGGCTTTGCTGCTGGAGTTGGCTTCTCCAACGATGGATGGTTCGGAGAGAAGACCGAAGAGTCCCATGTTTCCAACGTCATTGATTTGTTGATTAACTTGACGTACTTTGTCTATCTCGGTACCATTATTCCCTGGGAACAGTACAATAGCGGTGTCATGGGTCTTACCGTTTGGCGCCTTGTCGTAATATCCGTTTTCGTCATCTTCTTCCGGCGCATCCCCATCATGTTAGCCTTGAAACCGCTAATACCCGATATCAGAACTTGGCGCGAGGCTCTTTTCGCCGGTCATTTTGGGCCTATTGGTGTCGGTGCCATTTTCATTGCTATTCTCGCACGAGCAGAGCTGGAGACCGGAGAGCCGGTACCGCTAGCAATTCTTCCGGAACCCGATGCACCAGAGTTCGACTTGATCTACCTTGTTTGGCCCATAACCACTTTTATGGTTATATCTTCTATTCTCGTACACGGCTCCTCTATTGCAGTGTTTACACTGGGCAAGAGAATCAACACGCTCACCCTGACCATGTCCTACACCGCAGCTCCCGAGGACGGACCTACTTGGATGAACAGACTCCCCCGAATTTCCTCAATGTCGCGATCTCAGGGTAAGATGTCTGAGGCCTCATTTGACGAAAAGGAGACAGATCCTACTGGGGACACTCTCGCACCACCCGAGGGCTTCCTCCGACGCCTCAGAGAAGACCAGAGCCGTCAAGGAAGCCGAGCTTCTTCGCTTGTCTCTAGGCGGCGCAAGTCGAGGAAAGACGACGGCGCAGGTGGCCCCATCAGCCAATCAGCCATCTTCCCAAGCCGAGAAACCACCACAACTGGATCTGATGCCCAGAAAGACCAAGAACCCAAGGACACTGTTGATAACTCGCCCGCTAGTGATAGCATCGATGAGATCAAGGCTGAAGGTTCCGAAGAGCGCATCAGGTCACCAGAGCCAGCTGTCACCACACCCCGCATCCAAGTCTACGAAGAGGGTAGCGATCTGGTGTTTGAAAATCAGGATGGAGAGGTGCTGGATGTTCAGTCAAGTCCACGGGAGGATGAAACAGGCTTGCCATCTCCCGTTACTGCGGCTCTGCGATCTCCCAACAAACCATGGTCTTTGGGTGGTATGAGACAGAGGGTCAGCGATATGTACTCGACAGAGAAGGAAAAGCGAAAAGAAAAGGGCAAATCTCGAAAGCATGAGCCAGCACGAGCCTATCAGTTTGGCAATACGGTAAGTTGAATGAATGACCGAGACAGAGAGGTTTGATGGGTGCTAATATATGTGAAATTTTTAGATTATTGTCGAGGACGAGGATGGTGAAGTCGTCAAGACATACGAGATTCCCTCACAGAAGCCAGAAGGCCAGGCGGATGTCTTCAACACCAGTCTCAAGTATATGGGCTTGGGCGGTCTTGCCAAGGCGGAGGGTGAATCTTCCGCACAAGCTGCCCAGGCAGGAACCAGCGCTCCAGCCGCTGGAGGCAGTGGCTGGACGAGCATACTCGGTGGTGCTGGCCGTCGCAAGAACGTTGTTTCCCAGGAGAGCCAGGACGACGATGCTGATGATGACCGTAAGATCCGCTTTACCATCGGAGGTGTTGGTAAGCGCATGACCAAGGAGGACTTTATCCGTGAGGTCCAGAACCTTGATGCCAACACTCGCCGAGAAGTGGTGAACAATTCTTCTGCTTCCCAAGAGGTTAAGAGTATTGCCAAAGAAGAGAGAGCAGAGCAGCCAAGTGGTCCAGTTAAGGTTTCTGAGCCCAGTACGGATGCCAAGGCCCCGGCTTCACCGCCCAAAACGTCCCCTCACAAGACGCAACCATCCGAAGAGCAGGGCGAAAGTGCGGCAGAGCGAAAACGAAGATTGGCCGTTTTGGCCACACAGGGCGATGATGATGATGGCGACGACTACGAAACGCCTGCAGAGCGCAGACGGCGAGAGGCCGCACTTGGAATGGCCGACGAAGACAGCGATGAGGAAGAGAGGGGACGAGCCACACCGGCTAGGATCCGCTTCGCCGAGCCCCAGCGTGAGAAAAAGTGAAACATTTGATTTCCCCCCCTTGTTGAGACATTTGTTATAAGCATATTTTGCGATTGGTACCATCTATGCATGCATCACACAGACATATAGGTTTTGATATCAAAGTCATAGAAAAAGAGGTGGATCCAATCTTATATCTGCCAGAGGCGTACATTGAATTGATTTAATTGGGAAGAGTTTGCTAAGAAGGGGGTCACAATGTAGGCAAGCCATATTTGCGCGAACTACTATAGATATCAAACCTCATACTCTCAAGATAATTTAACCAGCCTGCATTTCTTTTGAACCTTACTATACAGCTTGGGATATCGATCCCAAAGAGCCAGAGTTGACAAAGCGCGTCCTCGGGACCTACACCCTTGAAGATGGCAGAGAGATATTACAAGCGACAGGCCATACTGAATACTTCATGGGGCTCGGAGGTCATATCAGAGACAAAAAACTTTGGCACTACGCATGGCATCAAGCTTGGTTCAAAGCCGCAATGACGTCTTCCACTAACCGATCAAGCAGCACGCCCAAGCCCTCAAAAGTAGAGAACCCATTCGCTCTACCTAGTTCTCCACCACCGGTGACGGGGAAAAGAAAGATTTGGCCGAAAGACGAGGAGTCAGATGGCGTTTTTAAAATGCCTAAAACTTCTGCATCTATGACCAAGCCCGGCTTCGTGTTCCAATATTCGACCAGTCAGACACCACCTCACCAGTCTCGTCTACTTTGCCTACTGCAGCGCTTGGCCTTTCTGGTACTAACTCAAACTCCAAGGCCAAAGAACTTGGAACAGTTCAGAGACATCAAGTTATGGGCTTAGATGGACCATCAGTGGGCGAGAACATCCAGGTAGGAGGGCTGTTTGCATCAGCAACATCAACCGTCACGACCGAGGATGCAAACCCAGCAGTTCCTCTGTTTGAGGATGGGGCTGGCACGCGAAAGCTGCCAGACTTCAACGATAGCCCGCCGATACACAAGAGTCTCGTGAGCTGCTGGGAAGATTTATCAAAATCCAAATACTGGGTCAAATCCCAATTGGTGACTGCTCCTTTCGAAATCAGACTGCCAGACGCCAAGATCACAAACCAACTATTACAACCTGGTCGAATTGTCATGACTAGGCATTCGGACCTGTTCCAAATTGAGCGTCGCGGTGCCAAAGATGACGATCTCTACCTTGGGATCAACCTGTCTCAACAGTTCACCGGTAAACTCTCCAAGGACCAGATGGACATCCTGAGAGATACGTGGAAGTGCATCGCCAGATGGGTGACTGTTGTATATCAGGGCGGAGGAATCGAATTTACAAAATGGTGTTTCCTGTGGTCAAGGAATCTGTGCTCTCTGATGATGAGTAGCGCTTCGGAACAGGAGACATGGGCATGGCTGGAAAGAAAGGAGAGGACCACTTCCCTCGAGGTAGTCTTGAGCTTGCCTCGAGAATCTGACTGCCAATTCGGAAAAGAATTTTCGGAGAAGATATCGGCGATCATAAACCAACATAAAAGTTCTGACGACAATGAAGGATTGTTGCAAGCGGTGAGCTCGGCGGTACTCGCAGAAAGAGCCCTGTTCAATGCTTGGAGTCGCTTTCTACAGGCTGTTATGATTGCTGTCTACTCCATCGCTACAAGCAAGTCTGAGACAGACTCGTTCTCTGAAGCTCACCATCTTCTTGTTTTGATCCGGGAGGGGGACCACATCCTGAATGTGATGTAGCGAGATATGGGGGAGGCAGTGAGGGCCAGAACTTAATAAAGCTGAATCTCTATCACAAAATCAAGTGAGAGCCAACACTGTAATTCCCATGTAAGGAGGCATGCGCCAGCAAGAGATATACCCATTACAATGATCTGTCCCAACCCTCAGGATACAACCACTCTCCCTAAACATATGAACACACAAGTCTACGATCCATTGAAGGGTTGCTACCCTTGTTCTTATTATTTACAATAGGCCGAAGCCTCCTGGTGAAGTGTGAAATAGCAAACATCGCTCTGTTTCTCCAAATATTCAAAATTGCATGCTTGTCCTTACGCTCTATTGAGGAAGCGATGGCGGTCCAGCCCATCCATCGTCATAACTAGCCTGCAGAAACTCCAACCACCCATTATTCTCCCCCATTCCAACGTCCGCTGCATCCAAAGGAGACATGTTTGGCCACATCATGTTCAAAACTCCATTAATCTGGCCGTTCGAGATGTCACCTGCCGGCTTGTCCATCGACCACGGTTCCTCAAATGTCGTGCTGTCCAGCATCGCGGACGGCGTGAGGTTCTCTTGGAATTGCAACGTTGGATTAGGCTCGGGCTCATAACCGTCCAGGTATCGCCCGCAGAGGTCTAATATGGTGGTGTGACATCTAGCACAACTTGCGTTCAGGCCGGCCATGGCGTGGATGGTTTCCAGTGCGGTTATGATCTGAGATCGCCATGCGGGGCTGTCGGGTGCAGAGGGCTCACTACGGAGGCAGATGCAAGGGATCAGAGCAGCCTGGAAAATGAAGTATCTGGGACCACTGTTAGAATCAGAAGGCTAGAGCTGCAATGGCGGAAAACTTACAGGCCATACCAAGCGGACAGCCGGTTGTGCTCCTTGGTCGCCCAATATCCGGCAATGGACACGATCGTAGACTTGGCGTCAGCCAGACAACGGGTATAGGCCTCTTTCGATGAAGGATCCAGCTCGGCTCCATTTATCAGTGACTTTCGAATCACAAACGGGCGATACATGATGATCCGCAAATTCCTCAGCCTCCAATCGCACACAGCCTGGGCGTGAGCATAGCGTAGTGGGACGATGGCGGTGACCTTGAAAAATGACGGGATAGAAGCAAGCCACGGGGCAATGTGGGTTGCTTCCATATGGAGCATCTCTTCTGCAGTTGGTGGAGGCTTGGAAATCACCCTGTCGTAGCACTGGTACGTTGCAGTGTTGAACCGGGCCTGTGTCGTAACCGCCGTATAGGGAGTCATATGGTTTGTCTCTGGAGGGTAAGAATGCGATGCTGGTGTGAGGTCCTACCCAATGATCATATGTGAGCGAATATAGATACCACCAACTACCCCACCTGAGAACATACCTCATCGTTGACGTTGAGCGGGAATGCGACCTCAACCCCCTGGAACGGCCATACGTTGGGTCGGCTGAAAGTAATTGACGCGCCGATATCGAAAATCCCCAGCGTCCACCACACTCGACGGCGTATCTCCATGTTCAGCGGGGAAATGTTCCATCCTTGAAACTCCTTGTGGAGGCCAAGCCCCATGGCCATCCTAGAGGCCAACCCCGAGTAGTTGTATCCCGAATTGGGCTTGTCCCGCTTCTGGACGTAGTTGGAGGCCAGAGTCAGAGTCTGAACCAAGGTCACGTTACCTACCTCGAGGAAGTTGAAACTCAGCATCCCGCGGGCCTGAGAGAACAGCGCCAGGTCCAGAGTGTCCTGTGAGGTGGATGCTGAGGTCCAAACTCCAATGGCGGCGACTACATAGGCCAATACAGACCAGCACACACCGTTTGGCCGAGGTATGACCTGACTGTACTGTGCCCGGAAAGTAGGTTCGTGGATGATGGGATAGCTGAGGTGATACATCCGAAAGTATGCATCGATCATGGCTTCGGAAACATGCCGATTCGGATCCGGCTGAGGCGTTAGTGGGTATATCGACAGATTCTGAAAGGGCTTTGACCGCGAGCCTGCTCGTTGACGACGAGCGTTGGGTTCCAGCAGCCGCAGGAGAGCTGCCCCGGATGCCACACCCAAGTAGCCGCCCTCGCTATCATCGATGGACAGCGAGCCCATGCCATCTAGCAGAGGGCTCTCTCCTCCGACGCCTGCAGCCTCGTCGGGGAACAGCTCGCGGGAATACTCTGCATCATGCTCCGACCACTCGAAGTCATCCACCGGGGGGCCTTCAAGCATCTTGTCATGCTCAGGATCATTGTCCGTCAACGCGGACTGGGGCGGGGTCTGCTCTTTGGGAGCAATCGGGATCCCCTCTCCGGCAGACGCCTGGCCGGCATGGGCGCTCCCAGAGAGGTCAGAAGGCTGTCCCAAGGACGCATCGGGCGGCGGTACCGCGGGAGCGTCATGCTGCTGCCAGGTGCGGAGGTGAGGCGGGATCTGCGTGGTTATATGACGCAGCAGAGCCTCGGCCTTCTCCAGACGGGTTTCCACCTCCGTCAGGTGCCTGTAGATGGACACGTCAGTTGCTGGGTGAGGCTTGATCGGTCCAGGTGGGACGGACGGACTTGCGAGTCAAGGGAGTGCGAGAGTGCTTCTCATAGAGACAGTGGCGGCGGTACTTGGTGCAGTAGTCGCAGGTGGGCAGGCCGCGGTTGCAACGGGCCTTGCGCCTCCGGCACTCCTTGCAGGCCTGGTCTGCATATCCAATGGGCAGAGAAGAGTCAGTCGTCGTCAAGGTCTCGGCGTGGAGGAAATCCGCTGCCGGCGGGTCCACTGCCAGCGCGGCTCTGTCCATGATATGAGGAGGAGCCTGCAGGGGTCGAAACTACGGGACAGACAGACAGACCTGCGGGCGACAGGAGAATGGACTGCCCAGACGGCCGGGAGGAACTGGATGGGACGATGGATCGGGGCGAGAGTCGGCCTGCCGGTTGCGGGTCTCACGGTCACTCTTACTGATGGCGGAGGGTTTGGAGTTGAAGTAGGAAAAGCTCCTCTTTCTCTCCAAGGCCGAGTGGCGCCCCTCCACATCCAACATAAGTAAGTAGGCAGAAACAGTCAGTACGTGCATTTTACTGCTCAAACTCACCACCCGCCCCGCTGCTTGAGTCCGAGTCAAGGGCCGGGTCAAGCACGATCGGTTCAATTATTTCTGGTCTTTTCCGCCCAGCCAGTCCGAGGCCAAAATACACTGCTCCATCCGAGGATACTGTTTGACTATGTATACATTTTAACTTCCCCGCCCATCTCCACAATTCAGCAGGACAGACGTCGGCTTCTAAACATAAGCCAGAAGGCGGGCAGCCGTCCCGTTGCCACCGCTAATAAAAGGCTCTTCTCTTCAATAGACCTTGTAGTCGTGGTACCAGAGGTATCCTCCTGCGATAATCAGGCTCAGGACCGCGTTGACCAGCTCCAGCTCAATCACGGCCCAGAGCCACAGGCAGCCCACCGGCGGTGCCTGCTTCATGACAGCCAAATAGTCGTAGTTGTTGCTGATGTGAATGAGATAGCACCCAGAAACCGCGCTCATGATACCGAAGACGGTCTGTCGCAGTGGCTGCTGGTACTTCCGCGGAAACCCTGGCAATAGGGTAGGGTTTGCCTCATGCGGGTGCAGCGGCCAAAACAGAATAAGGAAGACTATCAGAGCAATGGTCAGCTTCTTCGTTCTCTTTCTCTCGTTTGCGCTTTTCCGTGGTTTGCCAATTGCCAGTGTGTTGCTGTTCGGTTTCGCTTACCAACCCAAGCACGTGCAGTGCGAATGGCCACATCTCGATAGTCCATTTCCTTGCCGTACTGTTTCTGGACTAGGATATCGAAGGTCAAATGCAGCGTGGAGAGCGAAACGGTGTAGAGCATCGCCTCCATGAACCGATCTGCGCCTGGGGAGAGGACATTCCGCTCTTCTTCATCGTCCTCGGCCCTCCTCTCTTCAACCACTTCTCCCCTTTCCTTTGCAAGCTCCTTCCTGCGCTCCTCCGCTTGCGAGAACAGATCCTTGCCTTGCGCCAAGTCCAAGAGCGTCTTGTCTGAAGGGCCAGAGCGATCAGGCTGCTTGAGCTTGATGTCGGCTGCCGACTTGGGCTCCTTGGTTTTGCGCTGTTTCGCCATGATGTTGGAGATGGGGTTGAGCTTGATCCAAAGCACCGGAAGCCGCGGTTCTTTGATCGTTTTCCCGTCTACTAGGCTACTATATGGGTGGTTTGTTCCTCACTTTTTCTCCAAAGTCTTGTATAGCGACGTTGGTGGTGAGGTGGCAGATGCGGCGTGGAATTATTTGATCAAGGTCGCGAAATGGATGATTCCACCATCACGCGTTAGACTGCGGTGTGGCTGGTCCCTGGAGGAGCACCTAAAACGGTGCCTGGAACGAATTTGTGGCTACAGCCCGGTGACAGAAGAAATGAGACACCAAATCTCGAGTCCTACTACCCTTTTGGAGCATTCTGAGTATTTCCGATTACTGCAGACCAATAATAAACAAATATACGGGCAATACACTCTATTATCGAATTATGTGACACTATTGTCATATTATTCTGGTCATTGTAACTCATGCTCTGCCTATTTAGAACTGCTCATCAATCCAGTGCCTCATTTATTTTCTCACCCACTTGCCAGTGTCGCCCGCCCACCTGTGCCAAAAGGCAGGCGTGCCTTTTATAGGCACCCATGCCGTAAGGAAGGCACCCGTACCGTAAAAGGGCACCCATGCCGTAAAAAAGAAAAAGGCACCCGTACCGTAAAAAAGTAAAAGGCACCCATGCCGTAGAAAAGGCACCCGTGCCGTAAAAAAGGCACCCGTGCCGTAGAAAAGGCAGTGCCTGTGTGTTATCTAGAGGCACTAAAAGACCCCTCCATCTTATTCTGAAGCCACTGCCGGATGACATCAGCGCCCAAAACGTTGAGCTATACCTTACCCCTGTAAAAGGTCCGCTGGCCAATCATCGCCAGTTGTGTCTTGTGCTCGAGTCCTTTTATTGGCAAAGTGCAGCTCCAGCTCATGCTCTCCCTCTCCTCAATCAGCTCTCGTCCCACCTACTATTATTGCTATGCTGAAGCTACCTCCACACATGTCCCCAGTCCCGTGCATGAGGCCGCTCCCCTCCCCCACAGGCTTGGGCCTGAGCATGAAGTCGAGCGGAAATGAGCTTCGAGGTGGCATTACTGGGACAAGTTTCCCATCTTCACCGTCGGCCTCGTGCGCCTAATCGATCGTCTTCGACTTCGTCTGCGTCCTAAGCAGCTCATCGATTCGTGCGCTCGCGCCTCCCGCTACTCCCCGCCACCAAGATGGACAGCCTCTTCAACCTCGCCGCGTTTGGCATTGTTTTCGTCCCAGTCGTCTATTGGTTCGTGACCCGCCTGGTCCAGTCGCGATTCCCCCAGCTGCGCGGCAAACGCATCTGCCTGCTTATCGCCCACCCCGACGACGAGGCCATGTTCTTCTCCCCGACCGTCCTCGGCCTCACTCGCCCCGAGACTGGCAACCATGTCAAGATTTTGTGTCTGAGCACTGGTACGCAACGCTAATGGCCCCTGTTTCTCGCTATATGATCATATTTGAAGTAGAGGGGCGGCAGGTTCTCTGGTCCCGTGTTGCAATCTGTCTGTTGTTGGCATGGATGAACGATACGGGACTGCCGAACCGGAAAATGAAGCAATGAGAAACCGAACTTACACGCACAAGAGAGGGAAGATCCGTGGCTGATGTATTTCTTTGCCTGTGCTTTAGGAAACGCCGACGGGTTGGGCGAAACGCGGAAGAAGGAGCTTGTTAAGAGCGGCATGCTGCTTGGGCTCAGGAGCGAGGATGATATCTTTGTCTTGGACAACCAGTACGACCTTGACCCAACCTCGACTTCGTCCTGCGACCAGTTTTTCAAAGCTAATTCCAGCATCGAAATCCAGACATGACTTCCCAGACTCGATGACCACCAAGTGGGATCACCAGAAGATCTCTGCCCTCCTCTGCAGCGCCGTCGCTCCCAATCTCGCTCGCCAACGAGCGAGACCCAACACCGCTCCTACATCCAGCATCGACGTGCTTATCACCTTCGACAACTCTGGTGTTTCCTCCCACCCAAACCACATCTCTCTCTACCATGGCGCGCGTACCTTTATATCCGCCCTTGTCAAGGGGAAGAGCAAATTCCCATGCCCGGTGGACCTCTATACGTTGACCTCGGTGAACTTCTTCCGCAAGTACTCCTCAATCGGTGATGCCCTGACAACCTTGTTCGTCTGGGCGATCGGTCCCAAGAACGACGAGGACCACCCAAAGAGCCTGGTGCTAATGAGCACTCTGTTTGGGGAGGGTGCGTCGCGGGGAACCGCCTGCAAGGCGATGACAGACGCGCACAAGAGCCAGATGGTCTGGTTCCGCTACGGATGGATCTTCCTGAGTAGGTATATGATGATTAATGAGCTACGACTGGAGCACGTCGAAGGCGCAAGCAAGTAGCGCATCACGAAACTATAAGTTCGGGCATAGGAGCCCGTGTTTCAAAATGACATGAGGTGGTTTGTAAGTACTTGCAGAATGAGATATCCAGTAAACATGACGGCCATGTATCTTGTCCCATCTGCGCCACGCATGCCAGGCGCAAGTGACAAGATACTCAGCAACGAGGCGCCCCTTACTTGCGAATAGTGGGAATGTCAACTTGGCTGGAATTCACTGTGAGTATGTGCTAAGAAGCGATTGTAGCAGTGGTCATAGCAGAGTCGCTCGACCTATTCAGTCATCTAGCGTCCATTGCCTCCCAACAGTGACCTAGCTCACTATTGATTTTCCTTAACAATATATTGATGATCAGAGCTGGATTGTTCCACGCGGTGGCGGATCAAGGCAAGCACAGGGCGCTCGGAGGTTGATGAAGATGAATCTCCAATATAAAGCAAACGCGTCAAGCGTGGGAGACTCTTTCTTGAATAAAGCTCTCCTTTACAGACGAGACACATGTACGAGCAACGATCAAATCATTGAACACAGGCCATCTACCTCGAATGCTGTTAACGAGAGGAACTCGTGAACCAGCTGAAGAAATGTTCGCCGGCGAAATGACATATGTCCGCCCATTCACTGCCTCCTGCAAAACCCAGGTACCCGACAAAGGGGCGAAAAGCATCGAGCTCACCCGCCTGGATCCTGTTCGTCGTCCCTCGAGTGAAGCGGCGAAACACAAGAAACTGGCGAATCCCAAAGCCGTCGATGTCACTGTTGAGCTAGTGACGGACCAAATTGGATCACCCATTCAGTAACTCTGGATATCTTTGAGTTGCTGAAGGGACCCGGCGTGAATAAGATCTGTATCACGGCCCCAGCTGCCCGTGAAACTGGCACATCTCACATGGATAGATGGACCAAGTCGTCGCCAATCCACGGCCAGCGGTATATATTCCTCCTTCTTCAGTAAACAGCCAAGACCATATTTGGAATTCTTTGCTCTCCCAGGAACAGTACCATAAACACTCGACGGAAACTCTCAGAACAGGCCAACACATTTATCTCAGCAAGAACAACTAAACAAAACATGCAGGGAACCAACCCAACGGACTCTCCCGATCACGTCCCTCGGGGGGACGAATCACAAGCTTCCGACCAGACCATTGACAGCGGGATCGTCGACTTGGCCACCAAGCGATGTTCCTGCCCAATGTACCATTTCATCTCCGACACCGGGATCTGCCCCAACTGGGTGGCCAGCAACCGGTCCATATGCCAGATGTGCTACGAGTACTGCCTCGGCGCTGGGATTGACGAAGATCCCCTCGGCTGATGCAAGGACATGCACGCGGCGTTGGCTCTCAAGTGAACTGTAGGGGGTTGAAGTAGGCACCGGACCTGCGATTAGCAAGAGTCTGATGTATGAGCGCAGGAGTGATAAAAATGATATTTCCTTAGTCATGTCAATTCGTTATTCAAATATCAGAGTTATAAACAGTTTAACCAGACACCGGGATGAACGCTATGCACAGGATATGGAGACCGGACAGTAAACCGTTGAAAAAAAAACTCATTTCATTTCGTTTCATCATGCTCAAAAGTGAACACTCCGCTTCTTCTTCATCTTCTTTTGCTTATCCTCCTCCGTCCTGGCGCCACCCCCAAAGAATCCGCTGACGCTGGCCGCCGCGGGGCCGGCATACGGCGAAGTCTGGAGGAACTGGTTCAGTTTCTGACGTCTCCCACCGTTTCCGCCGGCGCCCTGCTGAGTTTGCTGGGCGTCTGGGGTGAACTGAACTGATGGCCCCACGCTCTGCGGGCGAGGAGGGCGTGCTTCGGTTGGACTCCATCCTCCTCCAGCGCCAGACATTGACGCTCCATGCATTCGTCGAGGGGGCAGGGCTGGGGAGGGCGGTGACCTTGCGCCGTTGCGGCCGGGCTGCTCCACGCCGTACTCTCTCCGGAGGCGCTCCGTCTCGGCATCGACCTCGCGCTGCCGCCGGTCTCTCTCCTCCCTCTCCTCCTGCTCCAGCATCTCTCTGATCCGTTGCTGCTCCTCCCTGTCCTGCCTCTCTCGGTCCCGCGTCATGGCCTTCTCCTCTGCGACGAGTTTCTGCAACCGCTTTGACTCGGCGTCGATCTCTGCCCTCCGAGCATCCTGGGGAGGTGGGCGCGACGGGGGCGCAAACTGCTGTTGGCTCTGCTGTGGCGGCGAGGCAGGTGTCACGCTGTTAAGAGCTCCCGACATGGCGAGGGGCGGCGACGAGTTCTTCCGCGGGGCCTTGCCCGCCTTCACGCCGGCTGCGCTCGGCGCCGCAGCTCCGGCGGTGTTGAACGGGTCTGATTTGGGGGAGAGGTACAGGTCCCTGATGACCTCGGCGCTCAGCAGGAGCACCAGCTCCAGGCCCTTCCGGTCCTCCACCTCGACACGGTTCATATTCGGCTCGTAGATGGCCACCGCCCCCTCCGTCTTGCCCGCCTGGAAGAGCGCGACCGTGATGTCCGGCTCCTTGGCCTTCTTCCCGCCCACGGTCCTCCCCGACATGTAGCAGGTCATGTCCCTGTTCATCCTGCTGTCCCGCTTCCAGTGGAAGTTGAGCCGGGGGATCAGGTCCGCCAGCACGGGCGTCGAGGCGTCCTGGTCGATCTTGCTGGCGCTCGGCGTCTTGAAGCTCGTCTCCGGCACCTCGAACTCCCACGCGTCCTTGCTCCAGCTGCTGGTCTGGTACCGGACGGTTATGCTCTGGTCGGGGTTGTACAGGGACACGGCGAACGAGTGAGGTACGACGGGGAGGGCGACCGCGTTGCCGCCATTCGCGCGAACCTCGGCGGCGGAGAGGGTGGGCTGTGTCCAGTCGGGTTTCACGAGCACCTCTGCGTACACGACGGAGCTGTACTGGACGTCGAACAAGCCCAGGGCGTACTGGTTGGGAGCTTGGGCAGGCGCCGGTCTCTTGAGGAGATATTCTGGCCGGGCCTCGGAGCCATTGTGTGTGTAGTATAGAATCGAGTTCAGGGGATTGTCGGAGGAAATCCGAGAGCGGTAGGTTGGGAGATTTTCGTCGAGCATCTTGCCCACGTCAGCTCTCACTGGTGGGCGGGCAGCTGGATGTGAGGACGATTTGGGTGTCGCGGGGTTCGGAAACCTGATGGATGGGGGTTAAAGGGTAGAAATTGGTGAAAAGCAGAGGATTCTCGAGGTGAGGGGAGCGAATTGTGAGTCGGCAGAAGTGGTCAGGCAGCCCTCGAGGATGATCAGGCTGAGGACGTGCGCCCAGATGGAACAACCACGAAACACAGTCACGGGGCAAAGCTAGGCGAGTGGGGAGTCCCGGTTTTGACAATCCAGGTGATGCTGCCTAAAATTTAGGACGAGAAAAATGCAAGAACAGGAAGGAGACAGTGTCCAACTAAAGACGTCAAAGTTGGGAGAATTGGATAGGGCAGAAGCGGCTGAAGAGGGAGCAGGCCTGTTATATTGATTTACGACCCTGGATGCTCCTCTGGGCGTTCGCACTAGCCCGTCGGATTCCAGAAGGCAAGTGGACCGTTCCTTCCCTAAGCTGTTCCGTTTCAAAGCGATTGTGGCTGCGCTTCATCGCCCCGTGCTGGAGACGTCATGGCTTGGGCCCCGCTGCGCCACAACCGCCCTCGCAGCGATTGGCTCGCTCGCCGGTGCGTGGAGAGAAGCCGGGCGAATTCATCAGCTCACTCGCAAGAGCTGCGTGTGCGCCAAGCCCACTTACGTCTCTGCGAGATCGATCAATTCCTCCGCGCCGCGCCCGCGTGGATGAAGCTAATGCGTGCTTCGCGTCCTAAAATACATGAAGGAGCAATTGCTCGCCCAACTAGCGCAGAGATGTGAAGTTTGAAATGACCTGGCTTCATCCAATCCAGATGCGGCTCAGCCATCTGCACTCCGTTCCCTGGTATGGGGCGAGTACGGTATCCGAACCCTGCCATCTCATCTTGTGCACACAGCAAGGTATGATAATAAAATACAATGTGGAAATTATAATTAGAATAGGGTGTAAAGTGAACAGGTCTTGGTGATACTAATAAATAGCCTATAGAACATTAAGTTCTTGACATCCGTCTAAGACCAATGAATCATCAATGGGGCTCAAAATAACAACCGATTCTAGGGCTGGCCAAAGTCAACACCCATGACAGAGACACCATTTTCCAGATATTTCCTCTGCTTCGTATAATTCTCATTAACAAGCTCCCATCTACCGCGTTGGGTCTAGTATCAGATAAGTGCTTCCACACTTCGTTCTATTTCCTTCGAGAGTATGAAAAGCGGAGTTGGAGCACCATTGATGGCCAGCTCGTTTATTAACCCCCAAATGGGACCGTCCAGCTTAGAGCCCGGAGTTAATTATTTGCCCATTAATCTACCCGTTCAGGTGGGTGACATTAAGCTTGACACACCACCTTCACCACCAACATAGTATCAAATAACTCGGGAGAGTAAATGATAAATCTCAAGTCATAAAGTGAAGCATAACGTGAAATGGCGGTTTAAGTATCCAAAACCAAGGTCGTTCAAAGCATTCCCAAAAAATACATATTATACCGTGAGCGCGGTTTGGTCTTCCATGTTTTATGTCGCTTGAGGTAGGTACTCGAAGGATGGATATGCTGTAAAGCTCAGTGGACTCTGACTGTAAATGAACTATCACCTGCCGCATTAACAGATGAAACTCAATAGATCCATCAAAGTGAGTAACCTAATATGAGTAAGCTAAGAAATTTTGGCTTATCATGGTTCATATTTCCTGCGATGATGATGCGTTGATATCATCTAACTCCGTTGTCACCGAAATGCCTCCACCCCGCGTCCGCTCCAGCCCGCCCAACCCCACCTGCCGGCGGCGGAGATATCTCAAGGTATGAGGCAGCCCGGCACTATAAGAAGACGAGAAACGCTGCCTGCCATGACTGCTTTTTCTCCTGCATGCCTAGTACGGCAACAAGAAAACTAAACTTTAACTATCACCATGTCTTCACCCACCAGAGTCTGGTTCATCACCGGGGCATCCTCCGGCCTGGGCCTCAACACGGCCCTCGGCGCCCTACGCAGCGGCGACCGTGTAATCGGCACTGGCCGCAACATCAAGAAGGCTGCAGAGGAGACACCCGAGTTTGAGAAGCTCGGCGGCCAGTGGCTGCAGCTGGACGTCACCGACTCGTCGGCCCAGGCGACTATTGAAGACGCCGTCAAGCGCGAGGAGAAGCGTCTGGGACAGACCGGCCCAGTCCACTGGGTCGTCGTCAACAACGCAGGGTACGCAATCATCGGATCAGCCGAGGAGGCAAGTGAGGACAAGATATCCGAGTACTTTGACGCCAACGTCTTCGGTGCCATCCGGGTGTGGAAGGCATTGATCCCGACCCTGCGCCGGCACAAGACCGGCACGCTCGTCACACTCTCCTCGTACATGAGCGTCCTTAACAAGCCAGAGCAGATGTTATACTGCTCAGTCAAGTCAGCGCTGGCCTCGCTGGCAGAATCCTACGCCGACCTCCTGGCTCCCTTTGGCGTCCGATCACTGATCATAGAGCCCGGTGGTTTCCGCACCAAGTTCGTCGGCAACATCATGACAACAGACGGGCCGGCTGTGGAGGACTATAAGCAAAAGATCGATGCGTGGAAGGGCATTATCCAGTATGTCGTTCAGAACCCAGAAGCCGTGAGTGGCGACCCTGAGCGATACGGCCCAGTCGTCGTGGATGCAGTGAAGGGCAAGGGCTTGTTTGAGGAGATCTGGGCAAATCACGATGCAGGGAAGGCGCTACATGTTCCTTTGGGCTCAGATTCATATGATATCCTCGGGAATAAGTACAAAGAATGGGCTGCAGGAGTGTCCAAAATGGCAGATGTAGCCAAGTTAACAGATGCGGCAAAGGAAAAATAGGGGTATATATGAGAGACGTGATGGGTCTAACCTTTGTACATCAACCTAGCACCACCAAATCTAGATTATTCAACTTCAAAACTCCATCCAGGTCGAGAAGATCCATGTATTCCCCTGAATAACCGAGATTAGTATCAACATCGGAAGTAAATCAAGGCATCACACAGCGGGGCATTACCTGCAACAATCCATCGCTCTCCTAGATACCGTAGTCGAGCCAGAATAGCCCTTAGAGCCTCGTACATTTCGGGCTCATGGTCTTGGCGGATGAACCAAGCACAGATTGTGGCGGCATCGTAAAGACATCGGGCGATAAGAGGAGAAGTTCCCTCTGTCGATGCAATCATTGGCGCCGTATGCAACGCTTGAGTTCTGCAGCCTTCCAAGCTGATCTTCTGCATCTGCGTCTCCTGCGCGCTCGGCACACGGGGTTTGATATTATCAAAAATATTGCAACCGTAATTTTCGTACAAGATGAATCGCGCCGACACACATATGGCAAGGGCGCTGTTTTTAGCAGAGAGCGCTTCTTGACCTTTTTTGCCATCATCTCCCGCTTCATCGTTCTCCAGAGAAAGCTGCAGAGTATTGAGGATTCGGTCAAATTGCAGGGCTTCAGCCGTGAGAATAGCGGTATGCTGAGCTGTGTGTTGGGAGGAATTAGTTGCCTGTGCGTGTTTCAGCACTCTGTCAAGAAGGTGGACGGCCTGGCACGTTTTGGCAAAGCACCCAAGAGGCGTGACGCTGGTCAATACGCTCGTGGAAACAGGCTCGCCGGGCACTATACTTCCCTTATCCCAATCATCATCACCGACGGGTAGGAGCTGGTCTGAGGGGAAATCCGACACAGCAAAAGGCATCCCATTAGGTTCTATATGCAAGCACCGGTCAAGGATGTAAATAGTCCACCAGGTTCTGCGCATCTCTTCATGGAGCGTCCGAGTTTCTGGGTGCTTGAATATGGGCGTTGACGAGCCTTGATCCGGCATACCCAACAGCAATCCCAATCTCGCCGCACGGCTTATGTTAGTAAAGGCTGCCGGGTACACAGCATGGAATATCTCATACGCAGCCAAAAGCACATTAGCCTGCACAATCCGCAATGACAGGGCGCCTGAGGATTCCGCCGTCATGCAGAGGTGCCTTACGAACGTATACAAGCCTGACGTCGAGGGCTGGCCCTTGGGGTAGTCGAAGCTGAGTTTCATGCACAGCAACAGCATCGTGAATCCCGCGTCCGGTTTATCAGCTTTCAAATCCTTCAGCAGATTTTTCTTGCTAATAAAGGGCATCCATGGGTGGACTTTGGAAAGATACTGATCGCAGATGGCTTGACGATTTATACTAAAATGCTGCTTGGCCTGCTTCTCCAGTTGTGGCTGATAGCCCCAGGTCAGCGACTCGGCCGCCAGAGGTGACGTGAATGCTGCATCCAGGAAAAAGGACTGTGGAAACGGCTGCTCTGCGCCCAAGAAGGTGTGGGCGACGTTCCGGCTCGACGACGCTGGCGAATCATCCGGTGGAGGGCTGGCACGAACACCAAGTGCCTCGGAGCTCGCAGTGTAGCCGGTTGTAGACAAGCCCGGATATTTGCATGGCTTGTGTAAGCGGAGACACTGTTAATACCCAAAGTGACATATCAGTCAGTTGCTCCTGTATGCGATATTGTATGTGAGTTTGGACGCACCAGCCCGCATGCTGGCAAGTCTTTGGTACACCTTCGTTTGAGGCGCCTAGGACGCGAGAAAGGTCAGTGCCGAACGAGGCCCGGGCTCAAAGTCTAATTATTCGTACCGACAGGTGTAACAGGCCAAGAACGCCTTGTCCGGGTTCATTATCGGCACCTACGCTGTGTCGTAGGATAGGTATCAGAGGATTGACAAAGCGAGGACGCGAGGTGGACACTGGATGGATGAGCGCCGGAGTCGCGGTCCAGCAAGGTGGAAATTTCAGGGTCGCGGCAGGGCGTCGGCAGGGGTTGCAGTGGAGGTAGCGGGCCCCAGCCCCCTGCATGTCAGATTACCGCCCACTGTTATCCGAATGTTCAACTGAAGGATCACCTGGGCAGCCCCTCGCCAGCCCCTAGCCGACGCCCTACGGCTGCTCCTGCCGCTGCAGAGATCGATCACTGAATGCCTGGCCACCTGCCTTTTCCTACCTGCCTACGTCCTATCATAGATGTCTTGAGAGTGTTCTCGAAGACTCAGCTCGCCAGGGTCTTGTAAATGTTGCGTTGCAGTGAGTGCAAATCTCTGTATTTATGGAAATTCTACGTTGTATCGAGCAAGAGCCTCTTTATTCACGCAAATTTCTAACTGCAATCACCAACAACCTCCTCTCTTTACATGGCACGGAGCAGCAAATACAAATCAGCTTGGTAGGAGAATTTCTCCAATATTTTTATGTCTTTTATTTTCTATCATCATAAAATCTACCATGACTTGAAGTCCTGCAAGGTCTGGGTTGCGTCAGGCCAGCCTATCTAGAAGCGAATAGGTAAATACATGTGGAATGGTATGTATCGGGTACAAACGCCATGACATGTCGTACCGCGCCGGAGCTCGTCTAGAGATCACGGCGGACCGAGCGCTTGGATCGCTTGTTCTTGGAACGCTTGCACTTGGGGCGTGTGGTAGAGGTGGGGGCAGCAGAGGAGCTGGCGGTGGGCTGGGCCTGGGAGGAAGCTGGCGCAGTGGTGGTTGCGTCGGGAACCTGGGAGAGGAGCGAAGACTGAGGCTGGGAGCCAGCAGTGGATGAGGTGGCAGCAGCAGAGGTGGCCGAGGAGGCAACCGAGGAGGCAGCGGACGAAGCCGCAGAAGAAGCCGCCGAGGAGGACGAGGGAGCTGCTGCAGCCGATGAAGAGGAGGAGGCAGTGTCGGGTGTCGCATTGGAAGATCCCGAAAAGTTGGACGAGGCCTTGGTCTCGGAAAGGGCGGCGATGCTGACGTTCTTGACGGTCACGACGTTGCCCAGGCTGCTGGTGACACGCACGTCAACGGTATCGGTGCCGAAACCGCTAGCGTTTTGGAAGAAGTTGTAGTCCTGGCGCTCGGTCTTGGACCAGGTGCTGCCTCCGTCGGTGCTGACTTCGAGGCTCTCCACGGGCTCGTTCGAGTTGGCGACCTGCATCGCAAACCAGTACTTGGAGGTGCCCTCCTTGTTGCGGAGGGTGAGAGGCGTCGTGATGGGACACTTGACGAACTTGTACGATGTGGAGATGATGCCATCGCCAGTGTTTCCAAGTTCTGCGAAGGCGTTGATGAACAGATCCAAGTGGCCCTTGTCACATTCGGGGCACTCGTCGACAACCTAGGGTTCAAACAAGGTCAGTTTCCAACACCAACCTCCTAGCTGTGTTAAAGGTACGAAGCATCCTTACCATAGCAGTGATGGTGTTGCCGTTGGGGCCGGTGACCTCCACGCAAGCACCGCAGGCAGCAGAGCTATCCCAGACCTGTCCAGAATAAGCAGTGCCCCAGATGCCAGAGGGCAAGGTGTAAGTGTTGAAGGAGCAGGCACCGCCGTTCAGGTTTCCGCCATAGTGAGTAGATTGACCGGTGAAAACAGCGCCATCAAGAGACACTGAGGCAGCCGCCAGGCCAGCAGCAGAGATAATGAGTGTAGACTTCATTGTGGAAGAATCCTGCTTTCAACTTGAAAGTAAACAAAAAATACCGTAGGGAGTGACTGAGAAATGAAATGTATAAGTTGCCAGAAAGAGAAGGACGAAACGGTAGAAAGGCCCCAGACCAAGGCTTTTATTTACAGAAATTCAAGCCGTCTCCAGTATAGCACATCTGCAGGTACCAGCAGATGGGTGGACTGACTTGGAGCCAAGATCCCGGCTCGGTCATCTCGCCAGGTGAAACGACCGGGGTCTCGAGAATCCCGTCTCAGGGCATCGTACCAACAGGGAACTTTCTGGGCTACGCATGCTGGATTTTCCTGTTTAACCTGTTGATATCAGGAGATCGGTTCCAATGACAGTCGTTCTGAGGCACATAACATGTTACTGACTGCCTTTGTCCTCACCCGACAGTTGTGACTCGTTTTGCGGTTGCAACAATGCCGAAACACCAACACGTGGAGAGGAGGCCAAGGTCCCCACAATGCGGAGGTCATCTTGACAGGAGTAATAACCAATTTCACGCCTCATCAATTCCTGCAGGCATCTTAGCTAATGTAAATGACTTGGGGGACGAAATGGACCTGCGAGTGTGGTCAGCCTGCATCAATTGGGAACACAAGGGTGACACATGAAGAGTGACTTTGAGCAAATAAAACTGAGATCCATCCAATGCAGGAGTATACATACGCATAACAATTTTTGCAAATCATTATATTCACCCAGCCCAGTCAGACAAGTTTATTTTCTCACTTGAAGCAAGCAATAGGGTAGTTCTCGTCTAAGTTCTATGAGCACTTGGTAACTGTCGTCATTTGTTGAGTCGTCTCTGTCGCAAGAAACACCCGTTTGCTAACAAACTATGAAATTTAAACCACGCAAAGCAAACTACCTTGATTTGCTATGGCTATTCCAGAGAGTTTGTAGCCTGATGCATTGGCAGTTACCGCTGGGAGTTGTATGTCGCTGTGTCGCCATGAGGCACCTCCAGCTGCCTACATGTATGCTTGGGCTTGGTGGCCTGCCACTCGTTCTCAGTTCCATGGCTCTCACTTTGACTTGAACGCTTCTTGAGTTTCCCATAGTAAATAAACAACGCTTGCTGCGCGAGTGAGAATAAGTTTCCTTGCCCCTTTTCCTTCCTCATCTATCACCTCACCACTCTCCTTCTTCCTCCACCACACCACTACCAGACAAAACGAAGAACAGCACCGCACAGAAAAGCAACAATCAGAGAGACCACCGTCAGACCTCTCGACTGCACAAAAACTAAAAGACATTGAGCAAGAGCCAAAAAAAAAAATGTCTGAAAGCCCACTTGAGGGAGGCGAAAGCTTGGGGCAACGGTGCCTCCAACACCTGCAGGCCTCGTTACAACAGCTTCGTGAGCTGCGGAACCAAACTGAAAGTCCACCCCTTGTTGAGGCAGACGAAACAGTGCGGCAAAGGAGCCTCCAATACCTGCAGGCCTCGTTACAACAGCTTCGTGAGTTGCGGAACCAACCTGGAAGCCCACCACAAGAGGGCCGGCCCCCCGGTACGAACTCTACACGGTCGCCCGGAACACAGTCTCAAGGAGGGACTGCCAACGTGATTCCCACGGATGTAGAATTTGCTGAAACAGTGGCTCTTTCTCTATCAGAAAGCCTGCAGAACGGCTCAGCCTTTCACCTCACCGGCGCTGTCGACTTTGATGCCAGCCTCCCCCCTCGTTTGGGACCTGGCACATCCTTCGCATACTTTACTGGAGGCAACTTCGAGGGATTTGAGGAGGCATGGCTCCGGGCTGCTGAAGAGAGCGAGTATGGAGAGGTTAATTTCATTATAGCGCCCATTACCATGAACATGCAAGGGCTCGCCACAAGGGTAGTCGCTACTTCCCGCATCCCAAAGGTTGAAGACAGCAATGTTCAGATGCCGGCCGAGGATGTCACCAGCACTAGTGATGAGGAGGCGAGAAACGCCCCAGCCGAGAACAAACAGAAGCAAAGCGAAGACTGTTGGTGAAATTTCACGGCGGAGGGATTTCTGGCAAGACAGTGTTGTCAAAATCCGAAAGAGGCTTGCTATTTGCTCATGATCAGCTTGAACACAGGCGGAGCTGGTTTCTTAGTGGTATCAAATTTTGCAAAGGGCGGCCCAACTAGGAATGGGATTGAAGTTGATTTTACTTTGAGACTTATGATTCATTGTCCTTTATTTGCTGTGCTTTATAACAAAGGAGTCTGCAGTGTATTGAAATTTGAGGCGCGGAAGGTTCTCGATTGATGTGTTCTGGGGGTTAGTCTAAGGCAACGGATGATACAGACTTTGTTCAGTTAAGTGAGACAGCATTTTCGCTATTCCATATTCTCGGATGAACAGAGGAGAAATATCGTGAAAGTGTCTTATCTAAACTTCTCTGCGCGCCACCGTATCGTGGACACTGGTAATATCATAAACCGCAAGGTCTTGCGTACCGTCGTCACCATAATCAGTAGAACGCGAAAGGCCTGAGTTTTTACAGACCAGACTAGAGCCAACCCTAAGCAAACCAAGAGAACAAACCTCATGTTGCTAGCTCTAGCAAGGAATCAAGAGCTCCCCAAGACCCGCCAATTATCTTAGCCTGAAGGAATGGTTTGCGCCTTTAGGCTCGGAAGGGCAGGGGAGAAGGTTCCGAACCGGTGTGACATCCATCGGAATTTACACACAAAACGTCTCAGTTATCTGATACGCTCGCCGTGCATCAGGGGATGCCATGTTACACAACTCCCCAGCCAATGAATGACGTGACTCCGGGTGCCACATGAGACAAATCCGACGCCGCACCCCAACAATTTGAGACTTCCGAGGATCCGAACGATTCGAACGCTCTGATAAGAGCCCGTCACGAGAATACCACGCGACAAGTTGGATGGTCGAACCTGCACTATACTGTGCTACAGGGTACGTAGAAATTCATATAGTAATACTCCAAGACACATATATAGAAGGTTAGATAATAGGGTTTGATAAATACGCAGAGATTTCTCCTGTCAACCATCAATTAACACACGCGAGCGAGCGAGCATGGTCTCTTTCCTTGCCGCAAGCTCTAGCGAATGAACAAAAGGAATAGAACCATGGTGTCCAAGTAGGACTTCTCTGCTGCTTCGAGATTTTGAATTGTAACCACACCATTCCCCCTATTGTCCTTCTCCTCGACCCAACCCCGATTGATTTAATTTTTTTTATTGGCCCGGATGTTCCGCCTCTCTAAGCCTTGACGGCATCCTTGGCAGCCTCGACACCCTCCTTGACGTCCGACTTGACCTCCTCGGCCACGGCAGCGGCGCCGTCCTTGGTGGACGAGTTGTGGAGGGCGATACGGGTGACCTGGATGATACCGACAATGGCGAGGAAGAAGTTGACGGTAGCGAGGCTGTGTGTATCACGGAGTTAGCGGTAAACCCACGAAGAACCAGAACTAGCGCTATCAAACACCAAAAGGCATTGTAGGCTCGCAGATAGATGCCAGTGGGAATTTTTACGTACAGGACGTTTCGGGGCTTGATGATCAAGCACCAACGGGTCCAGATAAGACCGGTGCAGGTCAGAGCGAAGTTCTGGGTGAAAGAGAGCTTCTCGGCGGGACGGGCGAAGTCGGCGATACCAGCGATGACAATAGCCCACTATAATGCAGTCCCCAGGTCAGCCACGCTGTGTCTTATTCGTGAGTATGGCGAGCGCATCAGCGACGAACGAACCTTCATGATAGGAGCCCTAGATTAGATCCCATGTTAGCAGCCTGTCCCACATCGCATACAGCAAGCCATACGGCCAACGCAATCCCGGGTAGTACGTACCAAAAGTGGACAGTCTTGAAGCCAATCTCGCTCTCCCACATCTTCTTGAACCAGCTCTGCTGCTGCTGTGCGGCCTCGGCGGTGCTCTGCCACCTCTTGCCCTGGCCGAAGCGAGGGGCAGAGATGCGCTGGCGGAGGGCGGCATTGCGGGTGAAGAAGGGGGCCTGCTGGCGGAACAGCGGCCTGGCGGCGCGCATCACGGTGTTCGTCGTCGAAGCCATTGTGGTGTAGATGCCGTGTTTTGAAAGTCCCGCGGCAGGATCGGTCCTCGGAGTAATTTGTGCGAAGGTCCAACTTTTTTTTCGCCCCTGGTCAGTAACTCATCCATCAGACACCGTGCTCGTCGCACCAATGGCGGCAGGGATTTTTCTGGTATACGTACCGAATAAGGGTATCAACTAGGAGAGAGGACGAAGAAAAGGAACAAAGAGGTGAGGGGAGATGGTATAATACGACTCGAAGATGGATGGGTTGTCGTTGAACAACGGTTGGGGATGACGCTAGTTGCGAGCAGCCATTAGATAAGCCGAGCGATACCGGATATCCCACGGCCCAAAATGCTACCCTGCACAAGATAGACGAGTCTGCACAAGCGGCCCACATATTCTTCATAGAGGTTATGCTCGGCTTGCTCCAGCCAATCCCAGGACCGGGAATTGCCAATTGAACCGCCCAGCATCAAAGCCTCAAATCATCGCGACCAAACAGCTACCCGAGCTTGTCCAAGCCAGAGCCACGGCCGTCACATCCTCGCACCCTGCTTATCCTCAGCACTGTACAGCAGGTAGACCGCCTGCAGTTCAACATCCACGATGGCTTCCAAATACGCTTTCGCCCAGTCCCTCAAGGAGGTTCGCTTCCTCTTCTGCCAGACCTCTGAGCAAAGCGCGGCCGTCCGGTTAGCCCAACCCTCTCGCTACCCAGCTGGCACGTACCTCACGCGGAGGTGCTGCCGAGCTTTAACTCAAGGGGCCCAATTGCTAATCTGCCGTCCGCTCGCACAGATCCTTCGTAAACCGCGCGTATCCCACGATGAAGAAGAACAACCCCACCATTCCCATCCTCGTCCGCGAGGCCCAGGGTACTATTCCCAAGGTTTACGCTCGATACGGTACGGCTCTCATATGAATCCGGAAAATTGGTGTACGAAATTTCAAACTAATGGCTGCAAACTATAGATTTCGGTACTGAAAAGTCACAATCTCTGGAAGGTCTTTCGGATAAACAGGTCGAGGAGGCAGTGGCAGGGTTAGTCAAGGACGGACCATGATGGCACATTGTTGAGAGTTGCTAGTGGTACGTTGACCGATGCCGAACTGTACATATGATATCTCGGAAACAATTGTATCATCATATTTCACACTTAAAAAGAGACGCCTGGATGATGTATCGCCTTCTTCCCTTCGCATTGTTGGGCCAATCGGGGCGCACTTCCGGTTATTGAGCTGGAAACGCCCATTTATTGTCTTCTATAGCTATTTTCGAACTGAAGTTCCACCGGGGAAGTGGTGACATGAGAAGCTAGGAGCGCCCTTACCTCAAAATAAAAAGCTCTATATAATGTGGTAAAATGTTTCTTCTCCGCACCCCAAAGGACGAAAAAAAGAGGTTGCAAACTCTACGTTTCCAATTTCATATCCATGCCCTGCTCCTAAGATTAGACCTTTCAAATCCCAACTGTGCTTCTGCCTCACCCCAATAACTGACTGCACACTCTTCGAGGTGCTGCCATAGTAAATCGAGTTATCGTCTTTTCCATGCCGCAGGTGCGTCGTTCAGTAACATGTCTTGAGTAAGAAGCTCTCGCGGAGGAAGCTTTGGCCACGAGTCGTTGACTAAACCGGGCTGATCTCCAGGTTCATCAGGATCACCGGGGTCACCGGGGTCACCAGGGTCTGCTTGGGGCTCTTCTTTCTTTTTCATCGCCGGACCTTCTTCAATTTTCGTCGCAGGACCCATGGGCTCTTTTCCTTTCCCGAATTTTATCTCTGGTTGCTTCCCCTTTGTGAAAATTATATGTGGCAGAGATTCTGAGCGGGATCTGCAGGAAGTTTGGTCGTCACAAGTATGCTGCCTCATGTATTTGCCCTCTTCAAAGTCAATCGTTTCGGAGGAGCTGCTTCCGCTTGCCCTTTTCTCTCGTTTATTGCGTGCCTCCATCTCTCGAGTATTGCGTGCCTTCATCTCTCGTTTATTCTGAGCCAGCTGCCCAAACACCCCCAACATGAGGCTCATGTCACTGTCTTCATCCGAGGATTGGTTCTCTGCAGGAGGAGATACAAAGTCGGCCGCAAGTGGATTCAGCCCACTGCTTGTTTCACTCGTAGGTGTGGGCACCTTTGGTGATGAGGCTTCGCTCTCCAAGCCCGACTGTCCAGCGCCGGTAGGGGTTTTTATCTCGGGGCCTTTCTGCGGCTCCCAGTGTGAGTCTGTGACTTGAGGCCGCTTTGCTCGTTTCTTTGGCATCTTCAAGGTACCTCCACTTCCAAATGGTGCCCCAGCCTTGAATCCCAGAGTGTCATGACCAGAAGAGTCAGGTGTCTCGCTGGGCTTGTTTCCATCGGACGGAATTTGGGGATCATCCGCCTTACAGTCGGTTTTGGGGGATTCAGAACTGTGGGTTGGGTTGGTTTCTTCGGGAAGTTTCTCTGTCGCGCAAGGCTCTTCGGTTGCCACTAACGAAGAAACCGACTGATTTCTCTTGGTCTTCTTGTTCTTCTTCTTCTTTTTGTTCTTTGGTTGGCTCTGCTCGGTAGGCGGTGTTTCGTTCAGGGGCGCGGCTTGACTAGACTCATTTCCCTTGGGAGGAGGGTTGCTTGAGACATCAGGTGATTTAATCTCCTCGGTACTATGTTCTTCTGCTTCGATTGTAACTTGTTGGCCTGGAAGTAAGCCGAAGAAGTTCGTGATCTGACTCTCAACACCTCGGCGCTGATTCTCCCGAATCGTCAATGTCTGAGGATTCTGCTTCCCTTTCCACATCTTCTTTCTTCTTGGCGATACGAGCTGAAATCCAGAAGGGTCTACCGACTGATCGGCCTTGGTTTGCTGAAGTGGTGGAGGCTGGGTTTTCGGAAGCGGGCGAGGGGTTTGATTTCCCTCCACGGTGTGAGTTTTACCTTCGGAGGTCTGAAGCTTATCCTCGACAGCGTGAACTTTGGATGCTGATGAGGCTGGCTTAGCTGAAATTGGGAGGTTCCGTTTCTTTGCTTTTTGAGGGTTCAAAGGCATCGGGATCCGATCCCAAGCTTGCTTCCTGCCCTTGATTTCTTCTTCAGTGAAGATGCTCGGAAGCCTGTAATGGCCCGGCGCCGTAGGCTCCGAGCCTTCCTCTCTTTTAGGTTGCTCTTCCTGCTTTTCAGGTTGCTTTTCCTGTTTTTCAGGTTGCTTTTCCTGCTTTTTAGGTTGCTTTTCCTGCTTTCTAGGTTGCTTTTCTACAGGTGTGACGTCCGGCCCTGCTCTAGGATGCTGGCTTGATGATTCCGATTCGATCCTCGATAAGTTGGCCCCGTCAAGCCCTTGGTAGTTCAGCTGCCAATTCTCAGACGAACTCTCATCTTCTCGGCGCCCATGACTTTTCTCCTTGCCTGGTTTCGCTGGCTGCTCCAGCGGAGCTTGGATTAAGCCTTCCATAGACATCTTTCGAAGCGGGGCATCGAGACCACGAGTTTGTGGCTCGGGTTCTCCCTGTTCACTTTGCCTCGCTCCTTCGTTTGACTTCTTGTCGGTAATGTTATCTGGAGGGAACTTGTCGTCAAGGCTCGGGTTCAGAGGCGCGGGAGCGGTTGTTTCGCTTGGCAGTGCCACTCTGACACTAGCTGGTTTAGTTTCGGATTTGCCCTGAAAAGACTTCCCATCATTCAAAACTTCAACAGCAGGTGGCTTCGTTTGGGAATCCTCGACCTGGAGAACGGAAGCCTTCTGTTTTCTCCTACTGCTCCCTCCCTGCGAGGGCCTTGATGGTGAACGCGTTGCAACCACAGTGTCAGCTTGGCCTGGAATTTGACTAGGGATTGGGGCAACGGGCATCGCCGCTTTTGAGGCCATCGCTTGAGCAGGGAAAAATCCAGAGACTGAAGGATCACCTGGCTTAGGCAAGTATGCATTGTCCGCATGAGGCATCGCCGGTAGGTTTGGCGGCATGAAAGGTGGCGGTGGCTTGTATGGCTCCTGCTCGAAAGGCCTGGCCGGCTCCATATAGTTCAGCGGCGGTTGACCAACGACCGATCCCTGTCCCGGTCTGCTCGAAGAGCCGAATCTTTGCTGCCCGGAGGACCCTCGTCGATTTCTGCCCCATACGGCGAGCCATTTTGATTTATATGCAGGTTTGATGCTCAATATAAGATGGTTGATGACGAGACTGCCTTCCGTTTGAAGTGCATTATGTACAGAGGACTCATTGGTAAATCTATAAAACTTGTCAGTAGGGTTACCGGGCATCTCCTCTATGACAATAAGCCCCCAGTTTACTTACCTGGCAAGAAAGCTGAGACCCGACTTAGTAGGTAACACGGCTTCTACAAAACCAAATCTGTCCCTAAAGCCAGACTTGATTCGTGCCTGGACATCCATTGTGTTCTGCAGACATGGGCCTTGATATACAGTGACATGAACACTGAGATTCCTTTCTTTGCAACAATTGCAATCACAATGAACATAAGCATACTTCTCCGCAAGCATGTTGTTGCAGCGCATTCGCGATGGCTGTCCATGCTGGGAAGACCCATGGCTTGAAACTCTCCAGTTGGTGTTTCTGACGTCCCCAGAGACGAACCCAGAGGGTCCTGAAATCGAAGTTACTCGATCATCCGAGCTTCCACCCTTGATGTTGGCTTTAGGTTCGCCATGCTTTCGTGGCTTTATCCCGCGGCCACCACCGCTAAGGGGTGGGACCTTAGGAGCCAGCTGCATGGCCGAGCTCTGGCGTATCCTTTCTGTGCTATTCCAGTTATGGTAATTGTCGAATTTGGCTCCCGGGTTCACATGAAGTGACTGGTGGCGTTGTCCTTCATGGTAAGGATAGGCATTGATCATACTTAGCTGTCCTTGGAAATCGTTCAGCTGGTGGTGGGCTGGTCTTGGTTGGCCATCTTTGTTTTGCCGAGATGTTCTGACTTCAGTCAGAGCATCGCCCAACGTGCTCAATTGACCTTCACGGTGAGTTGGCCTTGATGGGAGGGTACTGTTTCCGGCCATGTCATTCCTTTCGTTAGGGCGAAGTTGATAGTCCTCCTGTTCCGAATTCCTCTTCTTTTCAATCAACTCTTCAGTCGTGTGTACAGATTTCCCCACTTCAACCTCGTTGGACTGCAGCCTTGCATCTGACTTCTAGACACTCTGCAAGACTGGTTCCTGACCTGGTTGGATTGTTTGGGCAGGTTTGTTTACTTCAGAAACAAGATATGTCGATTTCTGACCCCCCATAGCATGTGATGACGGTCCATGGGATGCATCTCTTTTGTCAGGTTCTCCAAGAACCTTTGGGATCTCGCTTTGCATCGGAGTATGGGCCATCGAGTGGCTTGTAGGTCCCTGGGTAATGGGGTTTTTACTTTCATTGGAGAGCCCGAAAGAACTAGTTCGACTAGGCTGGTCTCCATAGCTGAATGATTTGAATGGTGCCACTGAGCTACCCATCGCAATTACCGGGCCGCGACTGGGTTTCCTGCTTGTAGCGATGCTGGTATCGGTCCCCGCTACAGATCCATCGCTCGTCCCAAGCGTAGGACAAGACTTGACGCCATAGTAGTGAAGCCCATTATATTGGACGCACGGTGGCTCGATCCAGTATTCTGGGGGAGGTGGGGGAGAGACCAAGGAGTCTGTAGAAGGGAGGCCGCCAGGAGATAGTTTCGGTTTGTCTGCTTTAGAAATGGTCAGCAGAGCTCCAGAGGGAATAAACGAAGAAGTCACGCACCCAGCCAGTTTTGAAGCGTATTAGTTGAGCAGGCGGTTATCAAGTCTGATGGCATCGGTGGTGGAGATCCCAAGAGCAAGTCTCGACGATAGAATAGAGCATTCTCAAGTAACGGCACCACCTCATCTTCGATATCTCCAATCGAAGCTCGATCTCTATCGCTGAGAATATCCAAAATGGGACCTTGGCCTTCAGTCGAAGCGATCAACTTGGACCTGTTGTCTCCTTCCGCAAGCCAGGCATCCAACCAATGACCTACGATGACCGCAGTCAGAACTCGCAAATCTTTGAAGATAATCTCGTTCTCGTCGTAGAGGGTATTCAGGACATTCCACAGATTGATCGCTCCAGTGTGGTAGAGGTCTTGCGCGTCAAAATACTTCCAAAGATCATCCCAGGACTCGGGCTTTTGCATACGCTTCATCGAGGCCCAGTGAATTTTTCGGATGGAGTTGCAGGCCTCCTGTATCTCATCCCTGGACCATAGATGAAGATGGCGATGAGGTAGGACATGATGCATGTTTTTGAATGGCATGGAGCCGCTCACGGTCGAGAATGTGGCCTCTGCTGACGCGGGGGGGTTGACGTAAAAACCGACGGGAAGGTTGTTTTCGACGTATGACTGGGGAGCATCCGACTGATCTCTTTCTGGGCACATTATGTACATGTAAGGTAGGCCATTTGGGTACCAGACCTTGAAGGCCGCCTGCTTCTGAGCAGGCTGCTGCTCGGCAAAAACTCGAGGACAATTCTGCTTGGCCATACCGGGCAATGGAGGTCGGCTAGGTCCGAGCTAGCAGGCCTCGCTGGCAGCTTCAGATCAAGAGATATTCGAAAATATGGTAGAAGACGTCTGTATAGTTGTTGTTAGTATTCTTATTCGCCTCCCACCAAATCTTGGTGCCTGCAAAAGTGACTTGAAATGGGTCAAAGGGAGCAGAATGAAACAGTTCAGGACATGTCCTGCAACAGGGAATATTCTAAAAGCAGCTACACTGAAGGCTGACGGGATGTCAGGCTTGGAAGATGAGGCACTAAGAATACTTACTTCAGAAAAGCTCTGAGGTGGTGCGAGAATACCCAGGATGCTCCAAAACGAAGCCAGGCAAGAGTTTTGAGATATCACACACAACTCGTGAATTTCGACGACTGTGAAATTTCAGGGAGCAGATTCCGGTGCTAGTTAGCGAAAAAATGTGTCGATTGATTTGAGGGCGGCGCAAGATAAATTGAGGGTGGAAAACATTGGCACTCTTCCAGCGACAATGGGAGGAGGCAAAAACTGGGCAGCATCGTGCCGCCAGAAAAACGAAAGAACTTGGACCGGAAGCGAGCCGTGACTCAATCTCCCAGGCGGCGGCAAACACTGGCTGAGAGCTGGTGTGAAGTGAGGAAAAAGTGAGGTTGACAGCTGTTGGCAGTGGCCGGCAGCTGAGCAGTGGGAACCAAGGCAGCGTGACTCCCTCAGGTACTTGCCAACTGGAGCAAGTCATGCTTGCTCTTTCCCCGTCCTTCTCTGTGTCTGCAAAAGCAGGACCACAAGAATCGGGTACCAGCTTGGAGCTGCAGAGCCACCAACACACATCTCCAAGTCGTCATGTGTTGGAGAGAAGTAAATCGGCCGTCCCGTCTTCCACTGCTGCCTGGCCCTGGCAGTTACTCAGTCTCCTCACGGCAAACTACAGAGTTCAAACGGCAGAACCAGCGAAATAGTCATAATCAGTCTACGACCCTAAGATAGGAAACCAGTGTGCAAAGAAGCATGCAGTTTTTATGAGTAGGGCACAGTGCAGAAACACAAGATTCCGCATATCATATTCCTTGCTGTGCGACTTATTGGCCGGTGGTCTAAGCGCATTTGCGCACAGCAGAAGAGCAAAGACTGCAGGTCATTGGTGACGGCATGCCACCCATCAGCACCCGAGCGGGACGGTTCTGCAAGGAGCCGAGGGATCCCAGCATTAGTTCTAGGACGAGTTTCTACACGCAGGGTAAAGGTATTCATCTTGCGAGTACCTGAGCAGCTATACGCGCTATCTATGCGTGCATGTATGATTCCGCCCCTAAGCAACAAAATCACTCGGGTGGACAAAACTGTCAGGTACCTACTGAGTAGGAGGGTCCTAATGACGAGATATGTCATCATTGTTCATCAAAGCCATGAGAAGGCAAGAAGAGCGATTGGTTGCACTTGCAATTTTGATTCTACTGATAGAGATACATTTGTGAGTGGCGGATATAGCCTGAAACCAGTAGGATGTACGTAGCCGGCACCAGAAGAAACTTCGGGAGATGAAACACAGTACAAACTATTTCTTGGCGTTGAGGAGCTTCAGGATCTCCGATTCATTGTCTCCGGCAATCGCCTTACCATTGTTCCAGTCCACAACCTATCATCGTTATCAGTCGAGAACGGCAAACCACAGCTGCATACTCCTGTCACGTGAAAACGTACCAGCGGCCTGACGAGGCTGTCCTTGTTCTGGGTGTACTTCTTCAGTGCATCCTTCTCGTCATGTGCACCTGTGACGATCTTGGGGATCCCGCTCTTGCCCACGTATTCGAGAATGGTCTGGACCTGGTCGGGGGTTGGCTGGTCCTCGGTGATGTTGAGCTCGAACTGCTCCCTCGTCGACTCGCTGGCAGCTCCAGATGTCGAGGCGGCAGAAGCCTGCTTCAAGAGGTTGGCGACCCGGACAGAGGCAGGCGAGCTCGCCTTGTGAAAGAGGGTGACAATGTCGAGGGTTTTGTGCTGGGATGCAGGGTTAGCGCGCTAGCCCAAGCTCAGAGATGGGTCTGTAGCGGATGGCAACGTACAAATCGAAACATTCTGAGAGCTAGCAACCGGATGTGTTGCTAATTGACCAGGCTCATAGATAGATCAATATTATCTGTCACAGGGCCGACGTTGATTGCCGAGCTCATCCGCTGCAGATTCGTGATGACCTAATCAAACAGCCAAGCTTAAGAGGTGGCCCGTGCGCCCCTCCATGCCTGCCTTGTAATTGGTTCCTTGCAGTTGGGAGATTCAGGGCCTGGCATCTATCTGCACAACCCGCCAGTTCGTACGAGCAGCGGATCACGGGACAGTTCCCAGCGAACTGGGTTGCGTTGCGACTGGGACTGTGATCCTGAGAGATTCAGCCCCAGATCCTATTGCCACACAACCACATGGGTAATCATCTCGGCTACTTCCAATTTCCAATTCCCATTTATCCCCCATGCAAATATCTCGCCACATATACCACGAGGCCGTTGATCAGCCCCAGCTCATCACAGTGCAAGGCGACCCATGATCAGTCCGGTTTGGTTGACTTTCTATCTCGCCTTCACTAGCTCCGAGGGCTCGCATCACACGTATCTACGTGTGTGTATAGGTACATCTGGGAGACAAACAGTGATTGATTTTTCCGAGCTTGGGGCAGAATGAGCGATGATTTGTGGGTTTGAAAACCCACGGCCTCAACTCTACCTGCCGAGAAGGAGCAAGAGCCTCCGTCTAGCTCACCAGGGCAAGCGAACTCCCCGCCGAGCTGAAGGGCGCTATTCTCCCAAGGTTACATTCAACAATCTTGTTGATGACCATCATCAATGCCATGGCCCTTGGCCGAGTTCACGCTAGCTGAGCTTACGGCGTCCAAACCGAAAATAGCCA